AAGCATTTTTGGTTTTGATCACAGTAGGCTATTTTCAAAAAAAATATCGATTTTGTATCTATATTAGCATTCTATATCATTTATAATACCCAGAAATGTTTTAAAATGCAATTTAAAGCATTTTTGGTTTTGATCATAGTAGGCTTCAAAATAAGATGTCAAAAATCCGCTGAAGTCCCTCGATCACTAGCACGAGGAGTTTTGTAATTTTTTTTAAAAAATATTTTTAATTCAATCCTGAACTTAACATTTTGTTTAAAATTTCTTTTTTGTAATTTTTGTACTGTCGTTCATTTGTAAAAGTTCGTGTATTTTCTTAAGATGGTTTACATTAGTGATTCTCAAACTTTTCAGGTGTAAAAACTCTTGCAAATAAATCCCATTAATTTAATGTTCTGTCAGTTTTTTAGTGGAGCACTTTTGATTTTCTGCTCAAAACATAGTTTGAGAAACACTGGTTTACATGAATTTATGCTTAATAAACAGATTCAAAAAATTAAGGTAATTGCTGCTTGCAAAATCCATATATAAATCTCAGAACTTGAGTTGTTTCGTAACACGAACAAATATAATTTTAACACAGCTTAATACGTTGGTTTATGCTCTACATTAAACTCAATTATTTTAATTTAGTTGTGATTTAGTAGCAATTTAGCATTGTTTGAAATTTTCTTATTTAAGACGACAATCAAAACTCACTCAATAATGTTTATTAATATTAAATCACAAAGTCAATTAGTTATTTTTTTAAAAAAAATTTTTTTTTCGAAATTGTGAAAGCAGCAATGTTTTTAAATTTAGATTAACAATAATTATTAAGTCTTGTTATATTCAATTCAATTTTTAAAATTTAATTTGTCATGCTGAAATTGATTTTTTATATCAGTGCCTTTTTCAATGTTTGTATATGATTTGTGGATTTATCAGACTTTAACTTAAAAAACATACCCACAGCTCAATCAAAGCGATATAATTTGTTTAATCAGTAAAAATACCTGAACAGTCATGTGTTTATATATAATGAATTTTAAATGATATCATATTCACATCAAATATTAAATGATATTTTTACCTATTTTTGAATATATTTTGCGATTATCTCCAAGAATCAATAATATTTGATCAAAACAGCAAAAAAAATTTATTTAAAAAGTTGAATTTTCACAAATATTAAATAAAATTTTTTTTACAGTATTTTGATTTTGTTTAACAATGATAAACAATGATCTTGATCATTAAAATCATTTTGAAAATTAAAATGCCGTTAATTCTATCTACTAATTTATGATATTAAAAAATGAGTTCTTTAGTCGTCCATACGATTATCCTTTTTTGGTGCTTTTCTGTCAAACTCAGAGATAGAGCGTAGACAGAGAGGGTTCCAAATGGTCAATTTAGGATTTTATGGACTAAGACGTAATTAAAATTTAACTTAGAAATAGGTTTAATTCTTAGCAATGCAAACAAAATTGAATAAAATAAAAAAAATAATAATAATATATTATTATTAATATTACTATTATTTTTGGAGCAGTAAAAGGCACAATATTATATGAGGAGATTTAACTATTTATGTCAAAACGTTTTTATTCGTTTCTTTACTTCACAAACCTTTAGAACATTGATTAAGGTTTTATGGATGGAAAGATAACGAGTAAAGCCGTTGTTTAAAATAATATCATAATAAAATTAAGTTGATTGCGCAAACAAAATTATAAATGATTCTGAACGTAATTAGATTAGGCGACGTAATACAGTAGTGCTCAAAAAAAACCTCTAGAAATTTAAAATGCTTATTTAGCTTATATGTTTAATATTTGACTTGAAACATAAAATATATAAAAGTCATCATTACACACCGTATAATCAAAAGTTTTATGGATAGACCAAGATTTGCTCAGCATAAGTTTGAATGTATAAAGCTATCAAGTCAGCTGAGCTTCGCTCATCATAAGTTTGAAAATTGAAGTTTTAAATCAAAAGTTTAATTTTATAAAAATCACAGTAAACTTTTGTTTTTAAAAATTCGTAAGAAAGGATTTTTTTTTTGCTTTTTCTGAAGCAACGGCCGTTAGTCGATGATAAGCCGATCGGCTTAAATTTCGGCTTAACATCGTTTAACTTGAAATTCTGAGCTTACTATAGCTACATGCTGACAAAATATTACACAGAATCATAGTAAAGCATGTAAAGTTCAATTTAAATACTTGAAATGGGTGGTAAATGGCTTTTTTTCTATCAAAAAAATCAAAAGTTGAGTTAAGCCGAAAAAATCGGCTTCGATCTCTGGTATAATTAAATAATTTGTTCCAATGAATTTCCATACAAAAAAAATTTATCATTTAACGGTTTTTTGAAATTCAAATTTTACAACGGTTAGAAAAAATTTGAAATTATAGAGGTAATGTTGAAATTATAGAGGTAAAATAAAATTTGAGCAGGTTACACTGAAAACAAAACAAAAATTCATTAATTATAGCATAAATATACTGTTTCAAGACTTATAACTGTTCGATGGGCCGATAAATCGATAGTAACAGAGCTATTAAAACAAACAAGAGCTCTTTACGATGTCTAGATAAAAAGTTTTTTATCACGTCCTGCCACACGAGCGAACAAAGTGATTTATTAAGCTCCCTTTTCGAAATCAAAAATGCGCTAAAAACTAGAAGTCTCTCAATGTCTCGTTATTGAGATTTCTTGCTGATTAACTTGATTGCTTGCTCGCTTGTTTGCTTACAAAAAAAAAAAAAAAAAAAGTTCAAAATTCTCGTGGATAAACAGGTGAAAAAATTTCATTTAATTAATTAAATAGTTTCCAAGTTATTTATAGTTGTTTAAACTATTTATTTAAGTACACGGTGCTGTCTGCTGCCCATTGGGAATGAAGAGACGCAAAAGGAAGCAGGATTTAAGTTCAAAAATGAACTTTGATGAAATCCCGAGTGGATCAAAACAAAATCTCAAGAAACAAAGAAAACAAGTTCCAGAAAAAAAAACTCCACGGCGGAACCTGAAGTTCCAGTAACAGCTGCAAAGGCTGAAAAGCCTTTGTTCATCCATCAAAATATTAATGAAGTGAGAAAAATTATTTCACAAATCAATTTGCAGGTTAAGCCTGCATTTAAAATTTCATCAGCGGCTACAACACAAGTCATAGTCAAAAATGTTGAGGACAAGGCGTCGATAATCAGCGTATTGCGGTCTCAATGCATCCCATTTCACACTTTCTCCGAGAAATCGGAGAAAACAAAGTCATTCGTTCTGAAAGGATTTTACGAAACACCAACGAATGAAGTACTAAGATTACTTCAAGAAGCCAAGGTTTCAGCTGTCAAAGTGACAATTCTCGTCAAGAAGCCCGAGTTCACCTTTTATCTTGTGCATTTTCAAGATGAAAGTGTGAACATCAACGTGCTCAATCATAACCACCGTAACATCGACAACATCATCGTCAAGTGGGAGAACATCAAGAAGGGCAACAAAAGCCCAACGCAGTGCTTCAACTGCCAACGTTGGGGTCACTCATCTCAAAATTGTGGATATAAGTTCCGATGCGTCAAGTGCACGGAAGTTCACGGACCAAATCAATGTCAATGATCCACTCGTGATGGAAATGCCAAGTGCATTAATTGCAATGGCGATCATGCTGCCAGTTATAGACTGTGCCCATCGTTCATTTCGTATTCCAAAAGAATCGAAAAGTCAAGAGCCAAACCACAACTCAAAATGCTGCCACAGATATCAAGTCTTTTGGACAGTAACAATTTTCCATCGTTAAGCAAACGACATCAAGTTTCTGCTCATTCACATCCAGTGAATGCTGCAAGTAACTCATCAGCAACATTTCAAGAAGAGATTAATCAACAACAACTGATCAATAATATCAGTTATGCAGAGAAACTCAACGAAGCAGTAAAGAATGAAAGCCTTTTCAAGAAATTAACAGAAGCTCAAAAACGTCTAAAGAGAATCCCCAACATTGAAGAAGCAATAAATCAGTTCTGCAGTTTCGTAGACGAAGCCGGAAAGATCCCAATGGATGCACCTCAAGGAACTGCATTTAAAATCATGGTGAAGTATGGCTTCATGAGCTGCCCACCAGCACCGAACAAGCCAGTTCAAAAATAATTTATTAACGTAGTTCATAAGCTTAAAAAAAAAGTTTTTTTTTTTTTCTCGCTCGGCAACTTTTTTAAACTTTTTATGCCACATTTTCATGATATATGTAAATCTCATTCATCAAAATTAATAATTAATCAAGATATAGTTGAATTAAAGCCATATTCAGGCTGGTGTCAAAATAAGACTCAAAGAAATGTAACTTAAACTACAATAATTCCAAATTTGAAATAAAGAAAGATTTAATTTAATTTTTTGTTTGCTTACAGAAAGCGTATTTTGCGATTTTCTCAGCAATGCCGCAACCAATTTGAAATCTGTTTTTTGAAAATGATGTAAAATTTTAGGCACAAACTTTTCATCTCTAAACATGTTAAGCTTTCTTGCTTCATTTCCTCGCAAAATGCGAAAAACTGATTTTTCAATCTGAACAAAACCAATAGATTCACACGTGAAAACGGTATGAAATTAAAAAACGTGAATTGAGATAGCTCAGTTAAATCGAGAATCATAATTTAGTAATGAAGTTGCATATCGGAGGCTAGAGTCTAATTTTTTTATAAAAACAATTTAACCAAAAATCCTTTTCATAGGATTTCGAGTCAGTCGATATAGTATCGATGGTTGGTAATCCAATTTTTATTTTTCACAGAATTAAAATACAACTTTTTGTTTCAATATGAGTGAATCGACTGAAACGTGACTTATATTGTCTGGACTTAAAATTGAAAACGATGTCTGGACTTATAATCTCTGGACTTATAACTTAGCATCATATTCTCATTATTGATAAGATTTTGATAATTGCCAAGGACGTATCCCATGTCAAATACTATAAAATATCACGCATTCTTGACTTTTGCTTTAGTTGTTTCATGATGGTTACAAAAAAAACTTTAATAATTTTCGCTTTGTCAATTTTAAGTTTGGTCAAAAGTCACGCAATTTTCGTCGATGAGTTTCTACCAATTCAGGATGAATTGAGTTCTAACAACATAACATCAGTAAATGTGGCTTGTACAATCGATATTCACACACAAACCGGAACTCCACAGCCAGTTTTTATTCGACCAAGTACATCTCAATTCTTCCTTCCAGCAAATCGTGATGGACAAATTCAACTATCTGTGAATGAAGGAATTGAACTTTGGTGTTCTGGTGCATGGACATCTCCATCTGGGGCTCCAAATTCAATTACAGCAACATGTGTCAGTGGACAAACATTTAGATATAACAATGCAAATTTGAGCTTTAATTCATTTCGCTGCCAAGCATGGCCTCAATGGACAACAAGAAGAACGACAACGAGATGCTTCAGTGGTGGGATTTTAGTTGACGTTGGATTCCAAATAGGAACTCGATGGCTTCATCTTTACACTGTCTGTCATGATTTAGTTTTTGAAACAAATTGGTATGTTCATTACGCTTTTTCACCAGTCTCTGCTGCAAATCAAAGAAATGTTGCACGTCCTGCTTGGACACAAACTGGCTTTTATACAGCTTCTAATGTCAATCACCTCTATACAAGACCGCAACACAGAATAACAATTGCAAACATTTTGGGAGATCAAGCTGCTGCAGACAGATTCATTGAATCTGAACCAAGTGATTTCTTCTTTGCACGCGGACATATTGCAGCAATGACTGATTTTATCCTAGCCTCTCAACAGCAAGCAACATTCCATTTTCTAAATGCCGCTCCACAATGGCAAACATTTAATGGTGCCAATTGGGACTCTGTTGAAATTTCATCAAGACGCTTAGCATCGGATCGTGGACTTAATTTAGATGTTTATACTGGAACATTTGGAATCACAAATTTGTGGAACACTGCAGGAGTCAGAAGACAAATTTTTCTTGATTGGCCAGCTGGAAGAATTCCAGCTCCCCAAATTTACTACAAAATTTTGATCAATCAAGCTGATTTGAGTGGGGTGGTATTGATTGGTAAGTAGGAATATAAAATTTTTAAGGACTAACATTTGATTAAGTTAGTCAACAACTTCAAATATTTTTGAAAAACTTAAATATTTTAATTGTCGTAGGTGTCAACAATCCATGGCTTTCACAAGCTGAGATCAATAGCCTTGGATACGTCATTTGTCCAGACGTAAGCAGTCAGATTTCCTATGTTTCATGGTCACGAACAAATTTACAACGAGGATTTGGATATGCATGTGAAGTTCACGAGTTTTCAAGAGTTGTGCCACACATCGATGCTATCAGAAACATCAGATATAGATTATTAGTATAAAACTTTTGTTTTAAAAATAAACAAGTGTTTTGTTATCAAATTGAGTTTTAATCCAATTTTCGGATGTGTTTAATTAAAAGAAATTCTTTAGTTTTGTTTTGGCAACTCAAAATAAAAATAATGTTTGATGAGCATTTAATTTTTTTAGGTGAAGATTGGAAATTAAAAATTAAAATATTTTTGCAACCGAACCGAAAAATCTCACATCGAAATTTGAACAACTTTTCAGATTTTTCAACATTATTCAAGGAAATTGTTTGTATTATTACAAATGTTCTTATAATAATTGTTTAAGTGTTTTTCGCTGCCTTCAATAACGAGACATCGTATTGTCTTTTAGTTTTTTTTTGTATTTGATCCGTGCTGCTCTATAGAAAACTTTGGGCTATGGAAAAACATCGTTGCTTCAGAAAAAGCAAAAAACTTTTCTTTCTTAAGATTTTTTAAATACTAAAGTTTACTGTCATTTTTATAAAATCAAACTTTAGCTGAAAAAAATTAAAAAAAAACTTTTGAAGAATTTTTGGCATATTCGTTAAGCTTCAAACATATGCATTTATTAGAAAGTCTTTTTATATAAAAGTAAATATTAATTTAGAGGGTTATTAAGCCTTATTGTCATTATTTTTATAAAAAATACAATCTCGGGATTTTCCGGGATCTCAGAATCAGAAATTTTGAATTCTGTAATCCCGGGATTGAAAATTAGGACCGGGAATAAAAACCCTAAACCCATCCTAGCTACGCAACTGGCTCTAGACAATTTTATTTCACTGATTCAAAATTCTGATTTGCTTAATCCAGTCCCTCAAAATGCTTTTTTTTTGTAAAATTTTCAAATTTTTTATGATGAATCAACCAATTTCTTATAACTTAATTATTTTTATTTCATTTGTAAAATAAAATTGAACCTCATTTTTATATACAAATTATCTTTATTTAATTGTGATTATTACAAAAAAAAAGAATTTTGAATCGGTGAAATAAAATTGACTAAAGCCATTGGCGTAATCAGGTTGAGTTGATTAGATGGAATTCCTGGATCTCTCTGGTGCAAAAATATTTCCAAAAGTTCTCATTTCTTCATTTTAATTTGCATACCACCAGTAAAGACTCTCTTCAATTTCTCCATTTTTCTCATATGTGAGCCCATGTGTTTCTGTAAATGATCTTTTCTCACAAATCCTTTTCCACACTGCTGACAGACATGCGGCTTCTCAGCTGTATGCAAAATTGAGTGTCTTTTCAAATCAGTTTTGTGATTAAATGATTTTGGACAATTTGAAATTTCACACTTGAATGGCTTATCACTGCCATGTTTTTCCATGTGATCATGAAGCAGCTCCTGTGTTTGATACTTTTTTCCACATTTTACACATTTGAATGGTTTATGTCCAACATGTGCAGTCTTATTGTGCTGTGTAAAGTAACAACGCTTGGCAAATGTTTTATTACATGTATTACATCGGAACTCATCTAGCATGTCAGGTGAGGATATTGACTGTGAAGATGAGACGATACCAAGTGGGGATGATATTGTTTGAAATGGCATTGATGACATCTGTTCGATCTTCGTAACATTCCAGGACGAATGCTCTATTGATGCTAATTCTTCATCAATTTTGTCAATCAAGACAACTTCAGCTTCACTCAGGTCAGTAATGGACATTCCGCTTTGTTGTTGCTGAACTTCCATATATTTGATTTCAATATTTTGGTCTCCATTTACAATACTCATTGAGTCTTCACAGTTTGGGTTATCTTTTTTAACTTTATTAAAATGTACCCGAGTCGTATAATGTCGCTTCAGATTCGTGGCTGACATAAACGTTTTCTTACAGTCTATGCAGCTAAATGTCCTATTTTCTTGCAATGGTTTGGGCTGTTGAACTGATTGTTGCTGATAATTGACTGGTGAAATCTGCGGACTAAAGCTTTGAACAGATGGCTTGTCAGTTTTCATAAAACCCATTTGAAATCCCATGGGTGGACGCATCATTAATCTCGGATCAAATGACTGTGTGTGATAATTAACTGATGGATATTGTGGCACAACTTGAGGATATCCAAAGGCATTTTCATTTCCGTTCCATATTGGCATCGGTTGAAATTGATGTGGATTAAAAATAGATGGAAGATAATTGTGATGTGTATTTTGATAGCTTGGCGAGTTTTGTTGATAAGAATATTGATTATTTTGATATATTACTGGACTTTGTTGAAAGTTTTGATGTTGTTCGTTAAGCTTTATGTCAGATTTTTCCATTTTAACTGGAATTTCTTGAACATAATTTAGCATGGTTGGAACCGTTTGATTGTTAATCTCATTTTGAACTGATTGAACTCGTGGAGGTGAATATTGAGAGAATCGTGGATGTTGTTGTGAATCTGGAGATTGTTGAGTACTTTGTAATTGGTGATAGACTGGAGTGTAGTTGTAGCTTACACTGTTTGGGTCCATCATTAATTTTTTTTTAATTTATGACACCTTAAAATAATAAGTTTTCAATAAAAATTAAATTTTATTAATTAAAAAAAATTCTTACGATTTTGAGTTTATCTTCGTTTTGCCTCTTGTGATCTTCTCCTAATGACTATGAATTTATTTTGATACCTAGATTTTTCAATCAATTGCTCTGCATGAAACTTTAGGTACAAACTATCAGGTAAACATGAACTAAAAATGGATGAAAGTTTTTCGCGCTAGTTTTTTATTTACCTAATTTCGTTATTAATAATTGTTGATTTTTAATAAATGCTTGCTACTATGCATTTTCACACTTTTTTAACGCATTTTTGAAACTTGTTTCGAAAAGGTAGCTTAATAATACGATTTGTTCGGCTGGCTGTTCGGCTGCTTGCAAAAACTTTTGATCTGGACATCGTAGAGAGTTCTAGTTTTTTGCGTTAGCTCGGTACTATCGAGTTATTGGCGCATCGATCAGTTTGAAAGCTCAAAACCATCATTAAATATAATTAATGGGCAAGATCAAAAAGTTATTGTTCGTGACGCTTCGCAAAATTTTTCAATTTCTGGACCATTAATCCAAGTTTTGTGGCAAAAACTTGTATTTTTCTTGTAATGCTTGCCAAAACCTACAATCTGGTATATATAAACTGACACTTGGACTTTGTACTTTAACTAAAAAATCATTTAAAGTTCTTAGCGTCACGAACAATTTTGAGGAAATTCGATTTTTCACTATTGCTAATGCAATTTCTCTGTAATTAATTCACCAATCAATGTAATTTTGTCACTACATGGTTAAGAAATCAGCATAGTAATTTGCTATCATAAATTTTTCAAAATGGCGACATTATAAGTTAGTTTAATTAATGATTTGAATCTTTAGGTTGAAATTTCTATATGATAAAACTAGCTTTATATCCACAAAAGTTGGTAAATATGATGATCTTTAAGTCTATCGAAGAAAATTTTAAAATCTACGTTAGTTAACAAACTTAAAATGGGTTTTAGAAAACTAGTCTTAAATCATTATTGTTTTATTACTTAACTGATATTTCAATTTAAAACTATTGTTCTGAATTAAATGCATCTTGTTGCAAAAGAAAGACCTATGAATATTTAAGAAAAGCCATGAAAATCATTAAAGACTATTTAAATTAACCAAAAAAAATTATAACGGTTTAAGCAAAAAATCAAATTTTGTCCAAAATTCTGAGCAAATGTGAGCAAAAAATATTTTTCATTCGAAATTACAATGTTTTTTAGTTAAATTAACTCATTTTTAAGGCCTTTTCTGAAACGATTTAAAAAGAGAAACACTTTTTGAAATACTTAGCAACTTTTTTCAAGTAACACAAAAATGCGCTGAAGTCCCTCGATCAATAACACGAGGACTTTTGCCAATTTTTTATTTATTTTTTATGTACTTGCCATTTAATTATTTATATAAAGGAAATTATTTAAAACTTTTTTATGTTCTATAATAATTTATATCGAAAACATTATGGCTACAAACTTGAATGTACCTTAATAATAATAATAATAATAATCCTTATTTAACGATAATATAATCATGGAGTAATTATAAAATCTATTTTATAAAAGCCCAATTCACTGACTCACTGACTTTAGAACGGAAGCCATGTGAAGCTATTTGTGAAGTCGTGTGAAGCCAATAATTTGGGGAGTGTTGACAAGGTGGGTGTCAGGTGGGGGGTGGGAGTGGATGTCAGGTGTGGAGTAAGGTGGGTCCGCATTTGAGGGGGTTTGTAAAGTCATGTTAAGTTTTGTGGTAGGATTGACCTTAAAAACATTATGGTTATTTTCTATTATTTAAATATAAAGAAGTGTTCGATAAACTGATTTAAAATATAAAAGCAAGCAAGTCAAGAAAAACGTGATGATAAAATACGAGAAAAAGAACAACTTTTAATATTAAGATGTGTTTATTATTATTAGTATTTATTTTTTAATTCTTTATGTTTTGCTTTTTAAAAGAATTGAGCTTTAAAGTCTGATCTTATCCATATGAAATGAAAGTCAGCACTTTATGCAATGTTTTTGTTAGAATCAAATTACAGGCATTTTTGCTCACATGTGATGTTTTTAAAAACAGACAAAACTAAAAATAAAACATCAAAAAATGGTTGACATTTTATTACATAATAATTTGATTACTTTTTCCTTGGCAATTTTATAAATTATTCTACAAATGGTTGAATTATGTCTCTATTTTTTCTCCTTTGCCACCACTTGCAAATGCACTCAATAAAGAAAAAGAAAAAACCAGCAAGAAATCCAAGAATTAAGACCAAAAATGAGCCTTGCATATCATCTGTAGTCACAATATGATTCAGAACCTCAATTATACTTGATTGTTTGGTACAACGATCCTTTCGAGGTAAATATTCTTTTATCCATCTTTGAATTAGTCCCATTTGATGAAGTCTGGTAAGTTCTTGGTTAAAAAGTTCAAGATATGGAGAGTTATAAGGAAGAACCTGAAATTTTGAAAAGATCATAAGAATTATGCACAGATTTAAAAAAATAAAATTTCTTAAGTACTGTGTTATCGAAGCAGGTCGGAGCAGAGTGGAAATTTGAGGGATTCGAGCCATACATATGCGAATTTCCCAGTGCGAGAGTTTAACCTCTGTGACGCAAGTGGTTAGGCAACAGACCGATTATCTGTTACCAATTGTTGTGAGTGGGAATGTAGATATGACGAGTATTCACACAATGCTCAAGACCTTACAATATCAACTTTGTTTGTGTATGAATAATAGGAGATCAACCTAGTGGTATCAATAAGATATAAACTTACTATGGCAATTTGTTCATCCATAAATTCATCAGTGCTTAATGCAAAGTCACAAGTTCCAGTCGCCAAATATTCTCTTCTCATGATGTATTGAAGGTTTGATCTCCAGTCAATATAAGCATGATGACCTTTCCGAACATCATCAATTATATTTTCATCTTCGTCCAAGTAAAATTTTCCACCTTTATAAAGTCTTGTATATTTTGGGAGGTCTTGTGAATCGCGAATGTATTCTTCTAAATATGTTCCGCTTCTCATTCCCCATGATAAGCTATTTTGCGATACAAGCTGACCAACTGTTTTAACATTAATATCGACTCGAGGGAATGTCAAAAATGCGACCAGATTACCACAGTATGTTGTCACAAGAACTGTACAAAATTAATATTTTTTTGCGAAAATTAATTCATGAATGAAAATTTTAGTTTTACCTATAACGATGAGCCACCAAGTACCTGAATGTGAGACAAATCTCAAAATAAATATTTATTCCAAATACTTCATTTGAATTACCTATAATCAAACGACCTGAATCAGCTTGAGGTAGATAAAGTCCACCTTGTTGCAAAAGTGCTCCATAAATATACCAGAAACAGTTGCTAAACTTAAACAACCCCTTTTTGGTACACTTGTTATGAAATTCATAAAATGGACTTAACCGGTTAACAACGCATAATATTGGAGGTAAAATTGCAATCATCGCTGCTAGACAAAGCCATGTCTAAAATATAGAATATTGATTTTTAAAATTTAAGGCATTTTACACATTTTTAATACCTACCCCGTGTGTGTACGGAGCCGTAAATAAATAAATTCTGCTGATTTCCTTGGGTTTTGCTACAATAAAGCTATATGGTTGAATGCTTATAGGAATGGAGAAATTTATCAACTTCTTATATCTCTCATTGACTGTACTTGCTACAGCACCGAAAATAATACGATTATCGTTTAGTAAATTTACTACTTCGGTCGGTATATCTGAAGTCAGAAGACGAATACCTTTGGTCGTCTACAATGTTGATGTAAAAGGATTTGAAATTAGCTTAATTATGAATTTATAAACATTTTAAGAAAATTAATTAATGAAAATTTGTAGAACTAGCATGCTAAAAAATAGAAATAATGATTGTGTCTTTCAAAAAGAATTGAATCAATACGACAATGTTTTAAATTATCATATTGAAACAATTCATACTATATTGAACAGATCATTATTCCTACTTAAAAATAGTACTAAGCACTTTCACCAACTGACAGTCATATTAGTCATTTCATCAGTCACATTTAAATCCGAAGATGTGGATGTCATATGTAAAACATATGTGAAATTCAATTTTTTCGACATCTCATTCAGGATATCAATTACGACGCCATGTGGTGTTCCAGTGATTTCCGTTCCATTTGCTTGAATGTACTGCCATGGAGGGTTCTAAACATTTCGATAATTTTTTTTAAACTTCAATAAATTATGTAAAGTATATATCTAACCTACATGATAAGTAACAATATGAAAAATTCTTCCGCGAAAACCATGAGAAATGTGCGGAAACAAAGCATCAACCATAGTTAACCCTTCAAATGGTCTCCACATGCCGGTATGGATTAATTTAAAATCAAATACTGAATCCTGAACATTTTTTCTCTCTAGAGCAGTTTGACCAGAAAAAACTGTCGATTTATATCGTGTTCCCCACACATCAGCGGTTTCGACTTTCCACATTGTACAATTACTGCATTTTGATGTTTTCTTAAGATTCTCAATCATCGAATTGAGAATATTGTCACGTCGTTCGCGTTTTGACGGTCGAATTATTTCCCATTCCTAATTTAAGCAAAATTAACAACTCATATTTTTTTGGAACTTATAATGTCAATATGGAATCGTTTGCATATTTCGTAACGAAGTTGGGGTGGCAAAGCTTTGTTACGTTTCATATTCAATTATAACACTCCTTACAAAACTTGAAGGGGTGTCAACTATGTAGATTCTTGACGGCACAAAATATACAAACGATGCCATTAACTACCAGAGACATGCCAACTTTGAACTGATTTAAAAAAAATTATATTACCTCATCAGAAATTTGACCATAAATTGCCATTTCCTCACGAATTGCCTTCGATAGTCCCAAAACAAATGCACGCAATACTTCATTGCAATGACACTTAACTCCAAAAACACAATCGTCATCGAATCTTGTAAAATTGTAAATGAAAGCAATATTATTGCCCTCATCGATTAGAGACGTAATGGATGTGATATTGTTGTGTAAGTAGTTTGTATCAGAGACAATATAGAACCACTGTGAAAAAGTGTCAACCATTTTTAAATCTCTTGCTATTTCCATGATTGTTTGCATCAAATCAGTCGTCACCAGAATTAAGAAATTTGTGCCAATGAATTTTGTTGGAAGAGACTTTAGCAAATTTCTTATAAATTTTCTTCGATTCCAGTCAAGTGTTGTTTCTCGAATACGGTAAATTGAGACAGACAGAGGTTGAACCTCATTTGAGTCATCTGGGAAATTTCTTGATAAAGCAATAACACAACGACTTATCATGTCACGGTCAAATGTGTTGTCGTAAAGAAGAATTGCTGATTTCCAAGTGATTGTATGACGAGCCTTTGTGTCAAGAATTACTTGTGGAAGCTCTTCGCCAGGTGTCATTAAAGGAATCTAGAGTAATAAATTTTAAGAATAATTTTTAGCGTATTTTCCTTAGGAAACAATATGATTATAGGCTAAAGTCTTATAGACTGGCTGTCTGGCTGCCACGAGTGCTTGAAACTGGAAGCACTTATTGATTTCTGGGTTTTTGCATTAGATCGAAGGTTTGTAGGTTCTTATTTGTTTTCTAAAATTCTCCTTAGTTTCTTAATTCTATCAACTTTTTTCTTTGTAGTAAAATTTTGGATCTCAAATAATCGTTACAGAAATTTCTGGATTCGGTGTTCCAGTCTTGGTTAAAAAACGCCCAAAAATTATTTGAATAGTCACGTCTTAAAAATATTTGAAAAGTAATAGACATGTTCAAAACAAATCAACTATTACATAAGTTTCCAACCCTTGGAATCATAAAATGTTGTCGGTTCCATATTTAGGAACAGTCTTTGTGTCTGAAAACTTATGACAAAAATGTTTAATTTATATTAAAAATGTATGGACAAAATTACAAAAGTTATATATTGAGGTTAAAAACCTACTTAACCTTAAAATCACGCAAAGTGCATTGCCATTCCCCAAATTTTACTGCTTACCTGATAAAATAACCAAAAGTAAAACAAATAACTTACACGCTATGCGTAGAAGTTATTAAAATCAGATGTTAAATTTTTAAATGGATATTAGATTTGAAAATTCATAAAAAAAAGCTTCCGTTCACATCTGTAACGGCGATCAACACTAATTTTTCATTGAGCCACCGTAAAGACAGAAGTCGATAAACAGTTTAGGGCTCGTTCACTTATTACGTAACGCAAAAAAACGAGTTTTTAGACCCCCCCCCCCCCCCCCCCTGTAACAAACCGTAACAAAATCTTAGACCCCCCCCCCCCCCTCCCCCCCTAGTGCGTTACGTAATAAGTGAACGAACCCTTATTAAAAGTTCATTTGAGGTCAGTATTGTTTAAAATAAACAAAATTCTTACCATTATGGCTTCTTCGTAAGGTAATCTTGGACAATCTGGATCAGTAATTGCTATAATCAACAAATTTTCACCTTTTGCATCGCGGTAAATTTCCCATGTATTTTCACAATTTGTAATACTTAAAACAGCTGAAAAATCTTTTCGTAAATTAATTTTAGTCCACGAATAATAAGACACGACCAATCCACCATTTTTTAAATCCTCACGTAAAACTCTCTCAACGACTATTTTAATTTCTTTAAGGACATCTTCATATTGTTCATCGAGATATTCGCGATCGACAATTATTGCAATTGATGCATTTTGAGTGAGTAGTGATGGAAAATCATCTGCTTTTAAAATTTTTATCTTTGAAATTGTCAAAATAATTAGTATAGTGAATATTTGGAGCTTTTGGTATTTCATTCTCAATTTTGTTCTGGTATTTTTGTATACATTCAAATTTTTCTTTTTTTTAATATCCACGGTTTTTCTACAACGCCTTACACTTTACACTTTCTCAAACTTTCACTTTTTCCTAGCTCAAGTCATTTGAAATACACCACAACTGTGAATGAGCTTCACAGTGTTCTCATCCAGTCTTTTATATGCAGACAGGATATGCATGCAGGTGTTACTTCATAAATCTATGAACGTTGATTAAATTTTTGATCAAGCCTAATTCTTTTACTTAAAATATTGAAGTCTACTTTCTTCAGAGCTATTGAGTTATAATAAATAAAAATAAAATCTTACAAAATATCGATCAAATTGAAGTGAACAGGAAAAAGAATAGAACTGCAGGTGTTCCATTGAAAAAGTAGAGCAGTAGTATTTTACTATTTTAAGGAAATTATTTTCATTAAAATTTCATTTGACAGAAAATCGAAGAAAAAAATCATGAAATATAAAAAAAAAATATACAGCTATAGTGTATCTACTGGGTTTTTACCGAATGCGGATATATTTACACTTTTCCACCAGAAAGGCTTGTGGTTAGCTGATCTCTGCTCAGCATTAATTTGAAAGATTAAAGTTTAACAAATAGACTGAGCTTTGATCATCATATTTTTGAAGGTATTAAACAAGCCATTCGTAAAAAAGGAAGCAAAGGCTATTCCTACCTTGTCCAAAAATAAGACAACTTCTTCTATAAATCAGCACGAATCTAATGCAAAAAACTAGAAGTCTCCACGATGTCTCATTATTGAGATTTCTTGATGATCATCTTACTTGTTTGCTTATTAACGGAAAGCATATTTTGCAATTTTTTCAGCAATGCCTCAACCAATGTGAATTCTATTTTTTGCAAAATACGTGAAATTTTAGGCAAAAACATCTTAAGACATCTTTTTAATCTGAACAAAAACAATGCATTTAAATGTGAACACGATGAGGATAAAAAAATGTAAGTAAGTTCTTATATTTTAGAATTACTGATTTATTAGTAATTTTTCCGATGAAAAAACTGTAAACCACCAAATTCAATTCAATTCAGTTCATGCTGTAAAATGTTAAGAAAAAGTTTTCTTTATTCTTTTTAATATAACAAATTCAATTAACTTGCAAAAAAAAATACATTTTTATCATTTCTTGGTAAATTTTAAATTATTTATATTTGATGATGTCACAACAATTTTCATATTTTTTTGCATCAATTTTAATATTTTCCGCACTAATTATTGTATTCGACATAAATGATAGAATTCTGAAGCAGTGCTGACTTTCAAAAAATAAAGGGAAATATTTTCTGAAATTTTGGACAATTAGTCCTCTATAATCAGTCTCATACGAATCCAAACTTTGCTAGTGGCATTGGATGTGGAACTGATCAAAAAAATAATACAGAAAACAAAGTTTCTGGAATTAAAAGATCTTTGATACCATTTAAACAATAGAAAATACAGAAGTCCTCGTGTTATTGATCGAGGGACTTCAGCGCATTTTTGACGCAGCGATCAGTATTTGATTATCTAATTATTTTGCGTTCACTTACAGATCATGAGAAGATTATTAGATCATTAATTTTAGTGTAATTAACAAATAATTACAATGAATGCTTATATATAAGGCTTTATTATTTAACGGTCAATATTTTCTAACGGTCAATAAATAATTTAAAATTTTCCCGCTAAAAGTTGCACTACAAAAACAACAACTTTAGTATAATTAACAATTTGTAGCAATGAATTTTAATGTAGAAAGAATTTATCATTTAACGGTTTTTTTGGAATTCAAAATTTCTAACGGTCAATAAATATTTGAAATGATAGAGGTAATGTTAAAATTATAGAGGGGAAATAATTTGAGCAGGTTGCACAGTACTGAAATAAGAAAATCATTAATTATATCAAAAATCCATTGTTTAATGCTTCAAAAATATTCGATCGGCCAATAACTCGATAGAACTGAGCTAATAAAACAAATCCGAGCTCTCTACGATGTCTGGTTTGTAGCGATAGCATTGAGGAGACAGCACGCAAGAAGGAAGTTTACATACATACACCAAAATATATAAACATGCAATAATTTTTGTCGTTCAATTATTTGTCAAAATAAATCGCTTATATCTAGTTAATATTGTTAAAATTAGTGTTATTTAATAACTAAGTCATTAGTGCATACACGAATAGTCAAATAGAATAAAATAAAGTACATTTAGTGATATAAAATCACTAAAATATAAAGTGAACCAACCGCGTGACAACCACGTGAAAAAAATATATTTTTTATTATTTTTGTATTCAGTTTCGGAGTTATTGATTCAAATCTTCTCAATCCTCCGAAACTGCTACAAAAAAACACCTGGCTCCAACAAGGCACAAAAGGAACCACAACCCTGAGAAATTTGGAAACTGAGAATTTTCTATTGTCACGTGATGTTTATTTTCATTCTGGATCTTACTGGATCTTTTGTCATTGTTTAATGAGCTTAACTACATTCTTGTCATGTCTGAATAACAACAAATTCATATTATGTCAGATCAACAAAATGGATTTAATTATGCACTTCCAAATTATGCATATTACCTGCAAAATTTATCAAATTTCCATATTCCAAATGAAGAGGATAGAATCAATTCAATTTTAAAATCTACAAATGTCGAATACCATCAATTGCATCATTTCGTCCTGATACTTGTCAACCAATTAATTATCAATCACAATTGACAAATTGGTATCTAAATTCAATCCAGACACTTCCAGCAGAAGTCACACTTAACCAATATGCAATAAATTTAAATAGATCACCAACATCCAGCAAACATTTGTCGATAATCAGTTCGCAAATTGAAAATTTAAATGGATCAACAACATCCAGCAGTCAAGAGTCAATGAACAGTATACAGAAACCAACATCTAGCGAATTTAGCAACATCTGCAACAAATTTACGGAAACTTATGATATTTATGAGCCACGAGAGAAAGATTTGCCAAGCATAGTCTCAATTTCATCAAATCATGTCCCTTCAATCGATAGAACTGAAACAAACAGTTTTGAGAAAGACAAAATGGAATTGGCTAAGTCTTGTCAGAATTTTTATTTTCTGATTCCTCGTAACAGCTTCAAGATTCGCCACTGGATTAAGCCATCGAAATCCAAAAGCCGCAAGTAAGTCAAGGAATCTATAATAAAAGATGTTGTGAGTGAAGAAAGTTTGGAGGAACTGGATCGTCAGCAGGACAACAATTCATTTTCCGTCGATGTCGATAATTTGTACGAAGTTCTGAAGAATTTCCACTTGGAAACTGGATCTGAAGCTGAAAATGGAAAGAAAAATGAAAGTTTTGCTGATATTGAGGAGACAGGACAAGAAATTATATCAATATCGTCCATCGATAACGATATTGACTTCATAATTTTCATTTTGAAGAGACGAAAGCAACAAAAAGCTCATCCTACATATAAGCCTTTGAAACTATCCATCATCTTCATTCGAATTATGACACATAAATTAATTATGTGCCATAGTATTCGCGGATGGTAGAAAAGCAAGAGGAAGTGGAAATTTTTACAGTTTTTCTTCAATATGACGACGATGAACAATCAGCACACAAATTCGCTTCTGGTCAAGCTTTCTCACCATTTCTGTTGTTTATCCACCATCAGGATCAACAATCAACTCAATTTCGAAGATGTCAAGCAACACATCAGTTTTGTTGACAACTGATGACACGACCCACAACAATTCAAATTTTTGAAACCCGTTATTATTTGAATCCCAAACGACCGTTACTTACAAAGAAGAAGAAAGTTTGTCTTTATTGGAATGAACTTTGGTAGATTTGTTTTTTTTACAAAAATTGCAGTTAACATTAATGATACCAACCTTTGCGGTTTTAACTCATTATTAAAGCATGAGAGTTTATGTAGATAATGTGAAGTTTATAAATTAAATGAGTGAATTGTTTATGTGGGCTAAAAAATTGAAAAAACAACCCAACGTGAGGAAAATTTTATATAAAAAAAAGTAAATAAGTACTCAGGTTAGTATAAAAAAACATATAAAGTAGTTAGAAGAACCACTTGGAAACTAAATAATGATACCCATAACTTTTACAGTAATGTTACAGGTCTTGACAGTTTGTGTTTAAGTCGATATTCAAGATGAGAGTAGTCGTATTTTCCAAGATTATTGATCAACGTGTTCTTATGACTGTCAATTCTATGATAGAAGTTGACTGTAAGTTTATTGAAGAAATCAGCCATGAATGGAATCTTTGCTCGACTATGAACTTCAAGATTTGAGACGAAATCATCCCAATTGATATCAAAATAGCGGGATTGTCAACACACTTCGTTTAAAATTATTTGAAATTTTGAGGTTTTTATATTTTGGTGATTTCAAAGTGATTAAGCTGCTAACGATGCGATTTTACGATATATTCCTTGTTTTGTGTTGTTCAGAATCAAGCAGTAAGTCGATTTTTTTCAATAAATAAATTTTTAATTGAGATTTGAATATTTTTAGATTTCTCAAATCTGTCAATTCCTTACTAAGTTGATAGTAAAGGCTGACGCCCAAATAGCTTATATCAAGACCAAGACATTACTTTTTCTTAAATCTACAAGCTGCAACTTCTCCAAAGGATCTTGTGATGCTGTCAGAAATGTCAAAATTTAAGAGCTCTGGCTTATCCAAGAGAAGAGACAATTTTTATGTAGGCAATCATCATGTAGTAAATGACTCCAATTACTGGTAAGGTATTAGGCATATAAGTCTTAAATAAGTCCAATGTTGAATGCTGAGTGTCCAGATTGAATATATTTTTTACACATCTATTTTGCAATACTTATATTATGAATTAAATAAAGGATTATTATTATTATTATCTATTGAAAATAAATCAAATGCATGTAGTGATGAATGTGTGATGATAGACGTCCTGAATGGATTAAAAAAGAAGTCGAATAAAACAATATCTTCGCAAAAATTGAAAATTTTGTGTAAATATGATAAATTATTTAGATGTTTTTAATATAATTAATTTTATTAATAAAAAAAATTTTAAGTCAGGTCTTAGTTTCCAAAATAAATATTTAAATTTATCCGCAATTTTTCGCTTCTTTTGTGTTGCCAGCTTTTTAAATAAAAATACAACAATATTACCAAATTTTTCATAATTACTTAAAATGCTTAAAATACTTCAGAAAGTACACAGCCCATCAAGTAATATTTAATTTTATATACTATAATTATATCAAATTAAATCCTTCTATTTATAGTTAAGAATGGAATCAATTTTTTCCATTCTTCTCAAATTCAATTCATTGATCAGGCATGGAGAAAGAAGATGCGATTACCGGTCAATCCAAATACAGAATCACCTTTAACTTACCTTCCTGATTTTAGTTATATGGATGGAAGACCAACACCACTTGGAGTAAGTTGGAATTAATTATTAAAATTTGTTGCTTGACTTGTAAGAGAATTTCTTGCAAAACTGTTTAATTAAAAATTATCTTTACGATCAATTAAAAAAAATCATATTGGTGGTTTTGTTTTTAGAGAAATCAAAAGAAGCGCATTGAATACCAACGAGAATTAACAACAAAAATTGTACAAGGAGTTCAAGAAATAAATTTTGCTGCTGATCGTTACGATAAAATGAAAAATGGAATGGAACAAGCAAGAGAAAAAATTATTAAAAATAAACTCAAGCCAAAAGGTTTTAGACTCTTAGAGAAAAAAAAGTGAAAAATAATCAAACATTTTATTGATTATTAAAAAAAATATATATAAAATGTAATAAGACATAAATAAAGCATAGATTTTAACAAAATTCTGAAGTTTTTCATTGGATTTTTAAGGGGTAAGAAACTTTTTGTAAATATTTTTAAATGTAACTTGTTGATTTAATAAAAGTTTCCAATATTCTTCTTCTTCTTTCTGAAGACAACAATTTTATGCATTGAAAATATCAAAATATGAAAAATTTTAAAAAGTAAATTTGAATATATAAATTTCTTACATCTACTCACAACATCCCCCTTAGTAAACATTTAAACAAAAAAATTCTAATAGTAGAAAAAATTATTTATTTTTAAAAAAATCTCAAATACAATGCTTGAAAGTCAGCGAACGCTTTTATTAGCGGAAGCAGATCCATCAAGTGCTCTGGAATGTGAACGCACACGACTTAAACTGGACATTCGATTACTTAATAAAGATGACATTTTAGAAGTCAAGGACCTATTTCAAGATTCCTTTCCAATTACATATCCAAATTCATGGTATCAAGATATAACGAGCAATTCTCAACGATTTATTAATTTAGCTGCAATTTATGAATATAAAATTGTTGGAATCATTGTCGGTGAAGTAAAAAAATGGAATAATTTAAACAAAGATGACAAATTAATTCTGTCAAATACCATGGCTAGGAAATCGTCGATTGCTTATATTTTATCATTAGGTATGCAATTTGATATGAGTAATATTTAAGTAAATATAATATAAAATGTCTGTAAATCAACTGCAAATTTTTGGATAACTTTGAAACAGTGTTGCAAATGTAGATGTCTACACTAGATGAAGAATGTAGATTCTTCAATAGTTTTTGTCTGAGACAGAAATTTCTTCATAAAGATCGATTCTATTTGAAGATAGAAAATCTAATCTACATAAAGATTATTTCTACATACATTCGATGTGGATGTCTACAATTCTACATTTTTTCCAGGTCTACATCAGAGAAGAATGTAGAATTGTAGACATCTACATCGAATCTTTATGTAGACAGAATCTTTATGTAGAAATAATCTTTGTGTTGATTAGATTTTCTATCTTCATATAGAATTGATCTTTATGAAGAAGTTTCTGTCTCAGAATTTATCTGATCCAGACAAATGGCCAGAATGCAACACTGCTTTGAAACAACAAAACAGTTCCTTCCTAGATTGAAACCAAGAAGCTTCAAAAACTGTATTCCAAAAAATTTGTTTTTTATTTTATTAAGGTGAATAAGCTTAAATTATGGAAAAATAAATGTTTTGTTTTCATTTTTAGCAATTGATCGAAAATTTCGTCGAAATGGAATTGGATCACTTCTTGTTGACACTTTTATAAATGAGCTTCGATCAAGAGAGAAATCTATAAAAGTTTGCTACCTTCACACCCTATCAACAAATTTAAGTGCTATATTATTTTATGAAAAACACAATTTTCACTGTTTTTCTTTCCTACCACATTATTATTCAATAAATGGAAAGTCAAAAGATGCATTTGTCATGTTACGTGTCGATAAAGTCGGAAATGAGGAGAAAAATACTATATTTAATGTTTTAGGCTATTATGTTAGAGAATGTTGTATGAGATTTTATAGTATAAATATATTTAGATGGATGCATACAAATTTTAGATTACTGATTAATTGGATAAGTTATAATACTATGTCAAAGTTGCATTTTCCACAATAAAAAAAGAATTTATTTTATGTTACAACATTTTTGTTTATTTTTGTCAATAATTCTGTATATTTTTAACAACCAATATCTCTTCTATAGTTCTCTTAAATGCTAAGCGCTGAGTGCGTGGTGAATTTTGGGAAAAAAATTTGACCGTTTTTTTCATCAAAAATTTAATAAAATTTTTTTTTTAAAACTTAATAACTTTCTACCAAGTTGGGTTTTTTGTATTTGTGAAGGTATATAATTCCATACAAAAACCAGAACTTTATCCTTTTTTGACAATTCTCGATTGCAACTAATACTTTAAAGCTTTTTCAAGTTTATTATGGTTGCCAGAGATATTAAGCATAGAACATGGAATTCAAACTTATACAATTTTAGGAAACCTATTCATTTTAAGTTTCTGATTGTAAATAGAGATTTTTTGTGCAAATCGAATGGAAATCAGAGTTGCGATCTGTCACAGGTCAACCAAAAAAGCCCATCTGTCACAGATCGTTACCTGTTCACAGGTCAAAAAATTTTTACCTGACATAGGTCTGAATAAATCCACCTGTACTGTCTCAGATTTCACCTGTCTCCTATCATAGGTCAAAAAAAGTATCTTTAAACCGTTGAATGAGAAAGCTGTTTAAACTTACATTAGTAAAGTAAAAAATTTGTAAATTTACTAAATGAAATGAATTTTAATGCTTTATTTTGTATTGCATTAGCTTGATAGTAAAATACTAATAGCTGTGTCAAAAATGCGCTAATTACCTGGATCAATAGCACAAGAACTTTTATAATTTTTTAAATATCCTACCCCCTTTTTAGAAATGTATATTGTTTTTGTTTATAAAAAATAAAATTGTAAATATTTCGTACTAAATCTCAGTAATTTTGGAATTTTTTTTCATTTTATTTGTTTCAAAGCGTTAAGTTTTTAAACCATATAGATGAAAATAAACTACAATAATAAGAAAATTAAAAACAATTATTAATCATATTGATATTGAACAATGGATGTGGTTATTGAGAAAAAATTGTCAGGATATAAGCAAATTGCACTTGAAAAGGTAAATTATTAATTTATGCTGTGATGAAGTAGAATAAACCTGAAGATAAGCACTTCCGCTTATCCATATTCGTAACGAAATCCAAGTTTAGAGATTAAGTTTTCAAGATTAAAGTTGTTTAAATGATGATGTTTATCCCGGGTGGACACAGCCAGTTAAAGTCCATTATTGGACAATCATTTAACAGTCTTTTAACTTGCCGAAATTTATACGACCTAGAGAACTAGACGTTTACTAGACTTTAACTGGACATTCATGCTAATCAATCAAGTGCTCGAAACTCAAAAATAATTTTCCTTACTTTTTTAACCATATACTTCACAAGCGCTTGCAGAAATCACTTATATAAAGTCTCACCAAATGTGTATGAAACTTTTAAGTAAATATAAATGTTTCACGCGCAAGTGTACGAGACTCAAGTTTTACTAGCGATTTTTCATAAGTGTGAGTGTACTTTAATTAATTGATTACACTAATACAATAATAAAATTTTACAAAAGAAAAAAATGGAGAAAAAAACACGTGTTATTTATTTTATTTCGATTTTTTTGTAACTGGACATTAACTAGACATAATTGCAATTCCTATGTCCAGTTAAATGGAAAGCGCAAAATATGTCATTAGTCGTCCCTAAGTCTAGTTGTAAAGGCACGTCAATGGAAACTTACTAGCCATGAACAGGCAAGTCAATGGCAAGTTTTTAACTAGTACTTTGTCCACTCGGGTATTAAGATTTTCATTGGATTCGTTCATACAAAATCTCAGGCGATTTTATCCTGAGACATCAGACCAGGAATGACAAAAATAGATGAGAGATTATAGTTAAGATTAGGTTTACAATAAGCTTTATCAATTGTAAATTTCTGACAAGAAACCTACGTTTAAGATATCAAGGAGTGCTTAGGAGAATTTGGCCAATATGATTGAGTGTACACTGAGTGTTGAAAATATTAGGTTCGCATATTTCGTAACGCTTAAAAATAAACATTTTTGAGTTGTTCTGACGTAGTAAAAATTAAAATTCTCCTTCATTAAATGGCTCTCATTAAATAATCCAAATAAAATTTGAATCATTATAGCTGGATAATATTCTTCTTACAATATTTGGACGAAAAGATCTGATTATAGAGCCTGAAATAATAAGGATCCTTGACTCATTTGCAAACATGGCATGGTTGAAGTAAATAAACTAGATTTAATTAAAAATAACAATTATTAAGATATCAACAAATTTACAGGTCAAAAGGATTTGATAAAATATTTAAGCTATCATCGACACTCCCACCAAAAACCAAAACCTTGGTCTATATGATATTCGCAAATTTAGTAACATTTAAACATGTTTTGGATCAAATTTCACTTTTGAAGTCGTCAAGTTTGCTTGAAAATGATGGAATCAAAGATTTTCATATCATTGTTGTGCCTAGTTTATTTTTTGTATTTCGTAATCTCGTCGAATCTGAAGGATTTGCTGGAATTGTCAATTTGCATAGTTTTTCGTGGGATTTTTTAAAAATTGACAGAAATCTACTTATTCTCGAATTTCCATCAACATTTCAGCAAATCTACATTCAAAAAGATAAAAGCTTGCTTAGTTCTATTGCTAAATCTCTTCGAGTCTTTACAATGGTCCATAAACGTCCAAATATGATCCTTACATGCGGACAAAATTCGGAGAAAGTAGTTGAAATGCTGATGCAATTAAAGAAACCAACAAATAATGATAATCCAGATTTTAATGCTATGATTGTAATTGATCGAAATGTTGATTATCCATCATGTCTACTTACACCGGTTACTTATAGTGGACTAATGCTAGAACTGTTTGATATGAAAGCTGGAATTCTGAACATTGAGGGAGAAAATAAAATTTCTAATGGAAAATTGGATATATTGAAAGAGGTATGAAGAAATTTAACTAGTTTAGTAAAATGATTTGAAAATTTTCATTCTAATTATTCAGGAATCAAAGCAATTAGAAAATCATGAAGACATTAAAACACTCAGAATGTGTGGGACATCAGACGAACTGTATACCGCAAATAAATACAAGCATTTTGCTGAAGTTGTGAATATTATCAAAGCTGAATCAAAAAGTTTGGAACAAGAAAAGCGTAAATATTCACGTGACATGAATCTCGATCAAATGAAAAATTTTGTAGAACAAAATTTGCCTAGAGTTGCAGCTCAAAAAAAGGTTTTGTACAAGCATCTGATTATTTGTGAGAAAATTGTTCAAGAAATGAGTTTAAACTTTGAAAAGCTACAAAATGTTGAAGAAATGATTTTAAGGTATGAAAATCGAAAGCAAATTATTTCATTTATTGATGAAAGCATGAGCACAAACGCACATAATTTAAATGTTTTAAGAGTCATGGCATTAATTCATATTTTCAATGGATATTCTGGTGACGAAATTCACCGATTAGTTCAAAATTATTTAAATGCTTTTGGACATAAAAACATTCACATCTTTCATAATTTGTTTAAAGCTAAATTATTTCCAAATATTTTAAAACCTAGTTCAACTAATTTAATTAAAATTGCATCAAATTTAACTAAGAAAACTCCATTTATGACAGATGCAATTAAATTTAAATTAATTCCAATAATTGAAAATGAAATTTTGGATAAAAAAAAGCCAACAGCAAGAAAAAAATGTCCAAGTTATGTCTTTAATGGAAATTACATTCCATACATTGCACAAGTAGCCCAAGTTCTACTCCAAGCTCAAAACTTTCACGATATTTCTCCAAAATTATCAACTTTCGATGTAAAAATTTTATGTAATGATGAGAGTAATCTAAAAAGTCTTAACGATACACAAAATGTAAAATTATTTCCACTAAAACCAAAGACAATGTTTATCTTTGTTATTGGTGGAATCACTTATGCAGAAGTTGCAGCATGCAAAATCATTGAATCATTAACTGGAGCAACTATAGTAGTAGCCAGTGATGAGGTCACAAACGGAATGAATCTAATTAAAAGTGTATCGTGAAATAATTTTTTAATTAAGCTTTAAGAATGTTTAACTGAAAAAATCTCATAAGATTTTTTAGGGCATTTGCGAAACTTGTTTCTAAAAGGTACATTAATAATGCACTTTGTTCGGCTGCTCGTTCGGGCGAAGAAAAACTTTTTAACCAGACTTCGTAGAGAGCTCGGGTTTGTTTTATTAGCTCATTTCTATCGAGTTATTTTTTTTTCAAGATTGATTCCTTTCATTGCATTTTAGTTTAAACTATTAATACAAAAAAAATATAAGATACATTTAAGAAGCTTAATTACTATAGTTTTACATATCACACCACAAATGCTTTAAATAAAGATGCTCTTTTAAATGAGTTTTGAATAAATTAATGCTTACAAACTTCTTCACTTCAACTGGAATATTATTAAACTCTGCAAGGGCTCTAATACAGAAATTTTGAGCGCCAAGTTGAGTGTTTGTCCTTTGAATCACTAAATTGTTGGCGTTTCTTGTGGCATGCCTATGAATTTGGCTTACATATTGAAATGGTAGATTAAGTTTTGCAGTGTTATTTATTAATTTAAAAACTAAAATAGCTGATGATAGCTGACACATTGCTGAGACAGGCAATACTTTTTCAGAATAGAGTTCAGTACGTTTGCAAAGATTTGGTTTACAGAAAACAATTCTTAATGCTTTCCTTTGTACAATTTCGATTGATTCCATCAGGTATTTAGGAATCGGTGCCCAAAGGACATTCATATAGCAAAGTCTGGATTGAACATACGCGAAATAAAGGGTAAGTGCCGTTTGCTCAGAAATTAATGGGCGTGTTCTTTTTAAAGCGAAAATAAAAAAGACCAATTTCTTTTGTAGTTGATAAATATGAAATGAAAACGAAAATGTCTCATCGATTTCTAATCCCAACAAATTAGCATGCTCAAGCCGTTCAATAACTGTGCCATTAAATCTTATATTCAGGGCTATTTCATGAAAATTTTCCTGTCGTCTTTTATTGTGGAAAAGGAGATATTTCGTTTTACTTTCGTTTGGAAATAGAGAATGAAATTTGAGCCATAGTGGTGCCTTACGCAAATCTTCTTCAATATATTGCTTAAGTAATGAAGGATTGATGCCCGGTAATAACACCGACCCGGAATAACTTCACAACGCAGCTCCGGAATAATGTCGAAAATTTAAAATGCATAGAGCGGTAATGACTTCACCTATATAGCCTGAGTGAACTTATTCCGGCGTGGCGCAGGAATAACTTCACCTAAAAAATGTAGGTGAAGTTATTCTTGCACGATGTAGGAATAACTTCACTTATATGTGCCAAGTGAAATTATTCCTGCGCCACGTCGTAATAATTTCACAAATTTTTGTTCATCGACATTATTCCGTCTTGATGCAGGAATAACTTCACTTATAATTTCTATGTGAAGTTATTCCTGTTTTGTGTAATTACTTTTATGTTATTTTTTAAGGGTTTTTTTATGATATATAATTAATTAAGTTCTTCAGTAATATGTTTTGAAGTTTGTTGCGGATTTTATTCTAATTTTATGTAAGACAAGATAGTTTCTTATATCTTCGAAATTATTTTGGAATATATAGAAAGTTCACTACTAATTCGTAATTACTTTGAATATCAAAATACTTTATAAAAAAAACTTTTTAAAAAAACTACGTTTTTCGCGTAGACTAAAAAGTAGAAAATAACTTTTATTCTTGGTTGTAAAGAATTTGGTTTTAAATTTTCAGATTATATTTAATAAATTTTTATATCCTAGTCAATATTGTTCACAAAGTTTCGAATAAGTGCATTTTGATCTTATCGTATAACTCAACAACTTAAAAACGTGGGCGCATTAATTTAAGTTTATCATAAAGTATTGATTTCACATAAACTTATTTCTCCTCTTTTTGGTGAGATTTCGAACACTAGATTTTACTTCCTTTGGTGCAAGCTATCCTTCTAATGGAATGAAAAAATGTATATTTTATCATTTCACTTGCTTCTAGTTTAATTAAACAAGGTAAAATTAGCTAATTGTGCAACTTTTTGAATTTTAATTTTGTATGAAAGCGCTCTTATGTTATCAATTGACGCACAAGATTGATATCTAATAAAGATATTACAGCAAAAGAGCCTATAACTCCAGAAAAATTAATTAAAGTTTTAATTGATATTCAAAGTAATTACGAATTAGTAGTGAACTTTCTATATATTCCAAAATAATTTCGAAGATATAAGAAACTATCTTGTCTTACATAAAATTAGAATAAAATCCGCAACAAACTTCAAAACATATTACTGAAGAACTTAATTAATTATATATCATAAAAAACCCTTAAAAAATAACATAAAAGTAATTACACAAAACAGGAATAACTTCACATAGAAATTATAAGTGAAGTTATTCCTGCATCAAGACGGAATAATGTCGATGAACAAAAATTTGTGAAATTATTACGACGTGGCGCAGGAATAATTTCACTTGGCACATATAAGTGAAGTTATTCCTACATCGTGCAAGAATAACTTCACCTACATTTTTTAGGTGAAGTTATTCCTGCGCCACGCCGGAATAAGTTCACTCAGGCTATATAGGTGAAGTTATTACCGCTCTATGCATTTTAGATTTTCGACATTATTCCAAACTCACGATTTTCTCTACAAGTGAAGTTATTCCGCGTCGGTGTTATTACCGGGCATCAATTTATACTGTTGATGTAGAAATTAAAGAAAAGGCCAGACAAAACACCGCCCTGCGCGACACCATATATTACATTGATTAAATTACTGAAATAATCACCAATTCTGACAAACTGCGCGCGATTATGGAAATAAGATGAAAGAATCTTTATAAAATTTGGTGATAGTTTAAGCTTTTTAAGCTTACTAATGAGTAAAGAATGAATTACACAGTCAAAAGCTGATGATAAATCTAAACATGTAAGACTGGTTGCATTTCGTCTGTCTACGCTTTGATACACATCATTCAATATGTGTGCAACTGCTATCTCAGTATTTGAAAGCTTCGTGTATCCAAACTGGTTGCTACTCATGATATGATTTGAATCTAAATGATTTTCTAGACTTTTTTTAAGTACATACTCAAATACTTTTGAGAATACAGGAAGGATAGAGATTGGTCGATAATTGGACATGTCTGTCCTACTTCCTTTTCTATGCATTGGAGTTACAACAGAAATTTTAAGGCAATCAGGAAATTTTCCACTAGTTAAACAGTTATTGATGAGTAAAGTTAATTTTGGTGTAAGACTATTTTTATGTATTTTTAGAAAATTATTTGAGAATCAGTGTTGCAAATGTAGATGTCTATACTAGATGAAGAATGTAGATTCTTCAATAGTTTTTGTCTAGCTAAGAAACTTTCTTCGTAAAGATCGATTCTACATGTAGAAAGAAAAAAACCATCTACATGTAGATTGTGTCTACATGTAGAATCTGTCTACACGTAGATTCGATGTAGATGTCTATAATTCTACATTTTTTCCAGGTCTACATCAGAGAAGAATGTAGAATCGTAGACATCTACATTAAATCTACATGTAGACAGATTCTATAGTAGACACAATCTACATGTAGATGGTTTTTTTCTTTCTACATGTAGAATCGATTTTATGAAGAAATTTCTGTCTCAGAATTTATCTGATCCAGACAAATAGCCAGAATGCAACACTGTTTGAGATACCATAGACATCGCACGCCTTAGGATTTGAAAGATTATCAATTATTAAAGAAATTTCATCCTCTGAACATGACGGATTTTCAAAGCTGACATTAATATCATATTGCTTAAAACTATGGAACATGAAGAAATCTTCGTCGTCGATATTCAGTGACGTGGTTTGATTGTGGACTTTATTAATGAAAAACTCATTAAATTTGTTGGCCATACAAGATTTATCGATAATTGGGATGCCATTATCATAAATTAGTTCACACGTATATAGGACTGACTTCATTTGAGTCCAAACCTTGTGAGGGTCATTTGCGTTTTGAGTAAAATACTTATCAAGATGTTTTTTCTTGTTTTCTTTAATCATATTTGAGACCAAATTCCGGAAATATTTATATTTGTCTGAGGCATACGTAAAGTGACGGTATTTAAATTTCACTTTTCGATAGTTATTTCGTATTTGAATGTAATTAAGAATTTCATTTGTGACATATGGCTTATGATTCGCTGATTTGAATGAAATTTTTTTGCTATTCTTATCAACAGTCGTCCTAATACCTTCAAGAAAAGTCTGAAAATCTGTAGAAACTGCATTTTCTATGAGATGATTATCAATGATCATTTTATGGTTAGTAATTTTGAAAGTACTGGCTTTTGCAGCTCTGATTGGTTGACTAGAATGACTATTGATTGATAATAAAATTGATTTATGATCAGCAAATCCTTGAAACAAGAACATGGAAAGCGAAATATTGTTCATGTATAAATGGAAGTCTGTTAGGACGTGATCTATGATTGAACGCGAGTTATTTGAGGTATTAATTCGTGTTGCGAAATTTTCATCAACTTTATTCACAAGCGTAAATCCATTTAATGCATATGAATTTTGGTATTTATGAACAGTCTCAGTATTACTTAAAAGATTAAAATTAAAATCACCAAGAACGATAGCATTTGAATGCTTCGATAAGATTTCCTCAAACGTTTCAATGAACCGAAATCCATTGAGGTCAGTTGGATTATTGGGCTGTCTGTAGATATTAATGACTTCAACTTTATGCTTCAAAAGCGAAATTATTAGAACATTATTGTTATTTTAATCTAGTTCATAGACTAAACTAGCAGTATCGAAGGAATTATGGACAAACAAAGCACATCCACCTCCGCCTTTATCCTTTCGTACAGAGTGAAAGGATTGATAATTGATTAAATTGAAAAAAGGAATGTCTTCAACATTCAGCCAAGTCTCAACAATAGCCACAATAAGAATTATGAATTTTTGCGTGTTTAAGAAGCATTGAATATCTTGTAAGCAGTTTCGTAAAGATCTAGCGTTGATGTAAAGAATATTAACAAAAGAATTATTAGAGAGCGAGTGTGGAAAACTATTGTGATGTGATATTTGTACACTTAAATCTAAGTCGAGTAATCTAAGTACGAGATCAAGCCATAATTGGGCATTTTGGGCAACGTTGGATTAAGGAACGGATCAGGAACTTGAAGTGTAGCGTGAGAAATAGGAACGAGAGCTACAAGATTACCTTATAATGGAATATTGTCAGAACGGACCTGAAATGTATCACATCACGCCCACAGAAGATTGAAACGAGAGCCTGAATTTAATCGAAACCTAGATTTGAAGATTAGAAGCTTGATTCTACGTCACTCATGGTGATATGAAATGTATCACTAATCAATGTAAAAAGTAAAACATGCATAAATACTAATTCTTCCGGACGGTAACGTCGACAAATAAATAATAATAATAATAAAAAGTCATCGTTTGTATCTTGTAACATATTTTATATTATATTATTGGCATTATTAGCGTGTGATAGTGGATTGATTTAGAGAAATGTAAATGAGCGTGTTGTATTATTCAATCATTCTGAAAGCTAAGAAAGAGACACTCGATCACACTGTTGATAATGATTTAAGTTAATGTATTACTAAGTGTTTTAAACTATGTTTAAGTACACTCATAATGTTCCCATTTATGATTGACATAAGTCAAATGAACCATTCAATCAACATGATCTTAAATCTTAGATACAATGTTTAAACTGGCTCAAACATAGACCTAAAATAAGATAAATAATGAAAACAATATTTATTTTTACACAATGAAATTAATATTTGGAAAATTCCGTTACTTATCACAGTTATGTCAACCCAAATGCAAATTTGTATAATAATTGTGTATTTAATTTTTTTTCATTTTAATTGCACTTTATTGCATTTATTGACGACATACTGTCCGGTAATAATTCACATTTTACACTTTTGTATTTGTATACATATGAATTATTATTATGTAGGATCAAACTTCTAATCTTCAAATCTAGGTTTCAAATAAACTAAGGCTCTCGTTTCGATCTTCTGAAAGGCGTGACGTGATACTTTTCAGGTCCGTTCTAGCAATATTCCACTCGTGGGTAATCTTATAGCTCTCGTTCCTGTTTCTCCCGCTATACTTTAAGTTCCTGACCCGTTCCTCAATCCAACGTTGCCCAAACGCCCAATTATGGCTTGATCTCGTACATTAAGCAGTCGAAGTATCTAAACTTCCGAAAAAGAACAAATTTGGAAATGGCTGGATTCGAACCGACGACCTTCAAGTTACCATCCCAAATTTGAGCCAAGCGCCTTACCTGTTCGACCAGCAAGGCACTTAACTGCTTAATTAAAAAGAGAAAAATTAAAAATTGTGAACAAAAAAGACGCAAAAAAAACTAATGAGATGCGAGAAATGACGCTAAAATTCAAAAAATGACGGTTTAATGTTCCATGCTGTCAACACATTTAAACTTATTAATTAACTCATTCAGCTGATTCATTGATTTAATTCTTATCGATTTAACGTTTTTTGAGTTAGCGTCTTCTTGCTTTACCATGATGTATCCTCTATTCAGCCATACATTGACGAAGATTTTTTTGTGTTTCCTTGCTGCATTGAAGATATTTCTGTTGAGTTCTGTGAAGGATTCCCGAAAATGTAATTCCAGTCCATTTGATGCGTTTAATGGCAAAACGTTGAATATCATTTCAGATAATATTGGGATATATTTCTTGTCTTTGTCTTTTTGATTGGCTCTAACATGCTTCATCAGTTTATGCTTTGCTAAGAGATCATAAAAATCGAGTTGTAATACTGCGGAATTCCTTCCTTTTGGTTTGGCAATGGCATAGCGTCTAATGTTGCCATCACTTAATTGAATGTTTGCCCATTTGCTGATGCACTCAAGTGCTTGCTTTGAGTCCAATTCTACTGGGACATTCAAAATTGATAACTGTGATTCGAGTTCGATTTGATTAATAGCATTAAGCTCAGCTGCAACATTTTCCATGGCATTATCACTATTTCCTTGTGATTCTTCAAGCGTCTTAACTCTGGAATCAATTTCTTGGATGTCTTTTCTTATGGTTGAAATTTCTTTGGTGAGGGATAGCACATTGTTACTTAAACACTTGATTGACTCATTTAGTGAGAGTGTATTTGTGTTGATTAATTGCTTTAACATTTCAATGTCCTTTTTGTCTGCGCACTCACTCATTCTTATTACTTTTGGCTTATTTTCTTGTTCTGGTGACGTTAGATCTTCTGTGGGTGATCTTTCAGCACTTTTTTTCTGACTGATTGTTGAGGCAGATGATTGGGGAGTTTGGATGTTTTGCATTAGATGTGGAGCAATAGAAACTGTCTGTGTGTGCTATCAAGTAGATTTTTGATTTTGTTTTATTAATTAAAGCACTATCGCCGTTAGATGACCGAAATCACTAGGATTATTGCATTACACACTGATTGAATAAGGGCAAGATGGTTGAAATCTAGTTCGTCAAGATTTATTCTTTCAAACTAATCCTGAGCTAATATTTTCACAAATTTTTTTTTTGATCGCAACTCAAAATTTCAAAGTTAAAATCATGTCATATCAATAAGGGGCCGTTCACTTATGACGTCCAGGGGGGGGGGGGGGGGGAGCTTTATAATGCACTTTGTTCGTTCGTCTGAAGAAAAACTTTTTAAACAGACATCGTAGAGAGCTCTTTACTATTGTTTTATTAGCTCCGTTCCTATTGATTTATTGGCCGATCGAACAGTTAAAAGTCTTGAAACAGTGTATTTATACTTCAAATCTGTATTTTCTAAAAATTCAACATTGCCTCCATAATTTCAAATTTTTTCTAGCCGTTGTAAAATTGGAATTTCAAAAAACCGTTAAATGATAAACCCTTTCTGTATGGAAATTCATTGCAACAAATTATTTAATTATACTATAATTAATTTTTTCATAGTGCAACTTTTAGCGACAAAATTTCAAATTATTTATTGACCGTTAAATAATAAAGTTTTTCTATATAAGTATTCATCATAAATATTTGTTAATAACACTAAAATGAATGATCTTCTAATCTTATAATGATCTGTAAACGAACGCAAAATAATTAGATAATCAAATACTGATCGCTGCGTCAAAAATGCGGTGAAGTCCCTCGATCAATAACACGAGGAAAATTGAAATTTTTTGAAAAATGACCGTTAATTTCGGACGTCATAAGTGAACGTTCCCTAATCATATCTCACTACTATTCTTTTATTTAATAATTTATTTCTTAACAATAGTAAAGTGTATTAAATATTTATTATAAAAATGTTTTATTTAGTAGCTATCTAAAGTGTAGATTAACGTTAAACATTGCTGTTTCCGATTTTATAAGTTTGCCTATAACTAATATACACGCAACCGCGGAGCCGAAGCTCCGGAAGTTTTTCAAGATAAGAAAGATAAGAAGACTTAAATTCCTTTAGGGGCAAGACCCTCCTGACTACGCGCCTGACAACGCATTGTAGAGACTTCTAGTTTTTTACATTCGTTTCGTGCTAAGCACGGTAGAAATAGCCATTGCTTCAGAAAAAGTAAAAAATTACAGAAGTCCTTGTGTTATTGATCGAGGGACTTAAGCGCATTTTTGTGTTAGCGATCAGTATTTGATTATGTAATTATTTTGCGTTCATTTACAGATCATTAGAAGATTAGAAGATCATTAATTTTAGTGTAATTAACAAATAATTACAATGAATGCTTATACAGAAAGGATTTATTATTCAACGGTCAATAAATAATTTGAAATTTTCCCGCTATAAGTTGCACGACAAAAAATTAATTATAGTATAATTAATTAATTTGTTGCAATGAATTTCCATACAGAAAAGGTTTATCATTTAACGGTTTTTTGAAATTCAAATTTTACAACGGTTAGAAAAAATTTGAAATTATAGAGGTAATGTTGAAATTATAGAGGTAAAATAAAATTTGAGCAGGTTACACTGGAAACAAAACAAAAATTCATTAATTAAAGCATAAATACACTGTTTCAAGACTTTTAACTGTTCGATGGGCCGATAAATCGATAGTAACAGAGCTATTAAAACAAACCAGAGCTCTCTACGATGTCTGGTTGAGGAGATCTCAGCGCCCGAACAGCCGACCGAGCAAAGTGATATATTAAGCTACCTTTTCGAAACAAGTTTCAAAAATGCGCTAAAAAAGAAGTTCAGCCTATTCGTTAAACTTTTAACTGCTTTTAACTTTTAAACTAATGCTGAGCAAAGCTTGGTCTATCCACAAGATTTTCCATGGTACGGTGTGAATATATTATTGATTTAATAATAAATAATTGTAACAACTTTTATTTACTTCAAATCAAAATCATCAGGCAAAAATTGGGTAATTTTTAAATCTTTTTGCAGCAAATTTTAGTTTAAAAAAGTTTTTTCAATAGTAGTGTAGGAGAGTAATTTAAATGAATTAGAGTATATTAAAAATGGATGTAACATTAATTTGGTAATGATGGTGGTTCAGTGTCATTTAATCTATCAAAATCAACACCATCAAAGAACGGCTGTTTCCTTATTGATTCATATTTTAAATCTTTGGGGTCAGTTGAACCAATTCGATCATCTGGATTTAGTTTGAATAATTTTTTGATTAAATCTTTAGCATTTTCGTCAAAACCTAATAAAAAGAAATTGATTATTGATATTTTGAAGCTCTTTTCAATTTTATAAAAATATTACTTTCAGGAAATGAGTACTGAAGCTTTAATATCTTCTGGAATAACAAGTATTCACTATCAGCATTGAACGCGAATTTGCCGCATAACATTTGGTAAATAATTGAACCGAATGAGAATAAATCGGATCCATGATGAGCGGCATCACCATTAAGGACTTCAGGGGACACATATTGTGCAGTTCCGACAAAACTTGAACGCCTTGTAGGTCTTGATGACTGCTCGTCATCTCCATCAAATTGCCGACTTCTTTCAATCTCTGCTTGTTCAATAAGATGATCATAATTTTCTGGTAGAATTTTAGCAGATCCAAAATCAGCAATAAGTAAATGCATTTTTTGATCGAGTAGTAAATTTTCGGGTTTTAGGTCCCTATGAATTACATTATTTTTATGCATTCCTTCAATTGCAACTAAAAGCTCTCCGGCATAAAACTTTGCACATTCTAAAGGCATTGAACCACATTGATTTATGTATTTTAGTAAATCTCCATTCCTTGCTAATGTGACGACAAAAAAGAGCTTTGAAGATGATTGAAATGTACAAAATAATGAAATGACTCCTTTGACATTCTTGAGATTTAACAAGGCTGCTTTCTCTCTCGTCACATATTCTTGCTTTCGTTCTCGAATTATATGCGCTTTCTCACAGACTTTTACTAAAAATGCAATCAAAAATTTTTTCATTAATTAGGTATCATAATTTTTGATATCTGCTACTGATTTTAAGAGTTTACTTCGCTTTCAATTGTCAGGACTAGAATTTTTTAAAATTATTATTTACTTTTCTTAAGGAAGCTATTGGCATATAAATCTTAGTGGATTTTAGATTAATTTTTTGTACAAATTTTAATTTTAGTAATGAAAATGAAGCTGGAAGTAAAGAGCACACGCAATTGAAATTTTTTTCAAAATATTTTAAAGATGAAGTTGTTATTATAAAATGGATCGGTAAGTAGCAATAAATTCACTGGAGAATCTATTATTTAATTAAAATTTCCTGTGCGTTTCTCATATCTTATAATTAAGTTGAAAAAAAAACTTCTATTGTGAAAACATTCTTGAATTCTAATTTGACAAATCAATTACGAGATTATGAATTTTATACATAAAAATCGTTTTTCCTTACTTGCAAATTCCTTTTTAGTTTCTAAATCTCTAGCGACGTAAACAGTCGAAAAGCTTCCTTCCCCAATTGTACGACCAAAGTGAAAGTCATTTTCTGTTCGTCTTGTTGTACTTTCCATAATTTCCTTGTTATACTCTTTTCCCGATTTATTTTCACAATTTACAAGGCTTTCTGTTATGACTTTTTTTTTTATTATTCGAGTTTTATTTAAATAGTTTAATAAAATTATTGTTATTTTTAACTTTTTTTCTTGACTTTCAATTGAATACTAAATTCTTACAGCAAAAATAAATAAATAATGAATGCTTAAAACATATAAAATGTAAACAAAATTTGTGTGGTGAAAAATGATTGAGAAAGAATAACATTGGAATCCAGGGGTTAAAAACGATTGAAAAGTTTCTAATTATAAACTAGTGTATCGGGTAGAAACCCAATGCGGATATATTCACACCGTACCATCAAAAGTCTTATGGATAGACCAAGATTTGCTCAGCATAAGTTTGAAGGGTAGGCGTGAAGTACGGCCGAGACCCATATCGACACAGTTCAAAAGTTATACCTAATTTATGTTATAATTATGTCAGCTACAAAACCACTTAGTTTGAAGTTTGTCACCCTCAGGAACACTATGGACCAGTATAGCTGATTTTGGTCCAAATCTCGGCCATACTTCACACTTATTTGAACCACATTTTCTCGTAAATGTTAAAATATTATTAAAAAGTAATTAATCCTAAATTATGTCGCTATTTTGTCAAGTGTTTTAAGATAAAGAATTTGTTTTTTGGTTTCCACAGTAAAGAGTATGAACAAAATTCAGATGGGGTAGTCGAAATTTTAGATTTCGATTTTTTTTAAGCTATGCATTACAAAAAGTAATATTGGTATGTGATTTATGTCAGAATTATGTCAATTCATATAAAACATCTTAAAATTTTTTTGAGCAAATAACCAAGTAGGAAATACATTTTCAATTTTGGACTAGGGGCGACCCTAGTCAAAATCAATTTTGTCACTTTTTTCTTCGAGGGTTTATCCAAATGGATTGAAACTTTGCATAAATATTCAAGTGTTTAAAACAAATACAGATAAAACATCCTAAATTTTTTTGAGCAAAGAACCAAGTAGGAAATACATTTTCAATTTTGGACCAGGGGCGACCCTAGTCAAAATCAATTTTGTCACTTTTTTCTTCGAGGGTTTATCCAAATGGATTGAAACTTTGCATAAATATTTTAATGCTTAAAATAAATAAAAATAAAATGGCCTAAAATTTTTTGAGCAAAGAACCAAGTAGGAAATACATTTTCAATTTTGGACCAGGGGCGACCCCAGTCAAAATCAATTTTGTCACTTTTTTCTTCGAGGGTTTATCCAAATGGATTGAAACTTTGCATTAATATTTTAATGCTTAAAATAAATAAAAATAAAATGTCCTAAAATTTTTTGAGCAAAGAACCAAGTAGGAAATACATTTTCAATTTTGGACTAGGGGCGACCCTAGTCAAAATCAATTTTGTCACTTTTTTCTTCGAGGATTTATCCAAATTTTTTTTTTGTTTGTATTTCATGTTATTTGTAAGTAACCAGGTGGTTGTGTTACAAAATTATATAAATTTTTAGCTACATAGTGCAATTTTTATAATATTTAATGATTTAATTATTAGCATCACAATACATCTCATAGAAACATTCTTTAATTCTAGTCTTGAATAAACTCAATGAAAAAGTATTCTTAACTGTCTGCTCAAGTGAGCTGTACAATAATAGTCCTTTAATGAAGAAAGTCTGACTTCCTAATTGTGTATGGGTGACTATAATGACAAAGTTTTCTCTCTTTCTCGTTCGATAATTGTGTCTTTGATAGGCCGTTTGAATATTAACATTGTTTTTAAGCATGTTAGACGCGATTTTATAAACTTGAATGCAAACACTAATTTGACAAAGTGTATTGACTGGAAGAATTCTTATGCTATACAATTCTGATCTGCTGCAGAACCAGTTTTTATTCAATAGAATTCTTAAGGACTTTCTTTGGGCAATTTCAAGCGAGTTTAAGTTGTACTGAGCTGCTGCTGACCACACAGTATTCATATACATAAGTCGCGACTGAACATGTGCATAATAAAGAGCTATCGCTGTTTTATCGCTTAGTAACTTTCTCACTCTCTTAACTGCATATGAAAACTAGAATATTTATGCAAAGTTTCAATCCATTTGGATAAACCCTCGAAGAAAAAAGTGAGAAAATTGATTTTGACTAGGGTCGCCCCTAGTCCAAAATTGAAAATGTTTTTCCTACTTGGTTCTTTGCTCAAAAAAAATTTTTTCATCGAAAGTTTAATTAAAAAAAAAATCAATGTAAACTTTTATTTGAAAAATTTATAAGAAAGGAAAGTATTTTGCTTTTTCTGAAGCAACGGCTGTTCCTACCTTGCTCAAAAACAATACAGCTCTTCTATAGAGCAGCACGGATCAAATGTAAAAAACTAGAAGTTTCTACGATGTCTCGTTATTGAGATTATCTGCCGATTAACTTGCTTGCTTTCAGAAAGCGTATTTTTCGATTTTCTCAGCAACGCCGCAACCAATTTGTAGATTACACATAAGATGTAAAATTTCAGGCACAAACTTTTCTTCTTTATACATTTATAGCTAAAATGCTTCGTTAACTCACAAAATCCAGAAAACTGATTTTTTAATCTGAACAAAAACAAAACATTCACACGTGAAAACGGTGTGAATATAAAAAATTTGAACTTTTAAAACCGTTATGATCATTTGAGAAATTTTAAAAGTTTGTCTTTTGTTTGTTTCAAGGAAGGGAATTAAAAAACTATAGATGGCGCTTAGATTTGGTGTCGGTAAACAAAAAACATAAAATTGAAAAATAAATAAATAATTAAAAATGGCATCAAGAACACCAGAAAGTACAGAAAATCAATGTCCGTTTCAAACAGAAAGGAGCGGAGAAGTCAGGGAAGTTGGATGTCATGCAATTTGGTCACTATCATCTTGTAAACCAGGTAACTGCAAACTGATTTAATAATTCTGTAAAAATTTTAATAGGCTTTTTTTAAGGTTTTGGCGTTGAGCAGCTAAGAGACAATTCAATGGAAACATATTGGCAATCAGACGGCCAACTTCCTCATTTAGTCAATATTCAATTTTCACGAAAAACAACAATCAGTCAAATTTATATCTACAGTGATTACAAGCTGGATGAATCATATACACCATCGAGAATTTCAATAAGAATCGGAACTCATTTCAATGATTTGAATGAAATTGAAATTATTGATCTTTGTGAGCCTTCTGGATGGATTGTTGTACCTATCAAAAATATCCGCGATAAACCAATTAGAACATTTATGATACAAATAGCAGTAATAAGCAATCATCAAAATGGTCGTGATACACATATGAGGCAGATTAAAATTCATTCTCCGGTTGAGGCAAAGAAAAATTTGGCACTTGATAATTTTAATGAATTTTCCACTGTCGAATTTCAACAATTCGCTACTATTCGATAAAATTTTAATTTTTAATTTTTGTGTGATTTCTTTTTAAATTTTAACTTCAACGCAAAAGCGTGTAAGTTATTAGTTTGAACACACTTTTTTTATTACAGCCTGAATTCATCATTTTCAAAAATCTTAAAGGATATCAGAATGTGTGTATTAAATGGCTGGATTTTTCTGTGTATAAAATTTTACAATTCGCTCCGCTCAGCAATGTTCCATTTTACTTCGTTCCGTTCTGCACAGCTCGTCCACTTCCCCTTTCTATAACTAAGACTCCCATCAAAAGTATCCTTTCGCAGACATTGAAAGCTTCTGTAAACGTGTTATAGATGTGATATTTTATAAGATATTTCACCTTGAAATTTTTGGGCATAACACATATAATGTATTATGTACAATAAGGTATTATTCTCCATAATTATCATTTTTCAATTTCCATTTATACTTTATACGAGAAATTTGGCAACTTTTATGTTATCTAACGTAAGTCAAGCGTGGAAGTTCGTGGCGTTCTACGTAAGTCGTGTTTTTAAAAAGTATAATTAAATTTGAATAACGAAACGTTAAAGAAAATGCTGATACGAACAATTCACGTTCGACAGACTTCGAAACATCGAAAGTCTAGGTGTGTTATAATATGCACGTTCGAAAAAATTTATATTTGAAAATACCGTTTTAATTTTTAGTCATTTTAGTAGACTTTTAAATAGTTTTAAAAAAGCTTAAGCTATATTTTGCTTATTATTGAATGATTACATAGTATTTTATCTAAGTTTCATATAAAACTTACTTAATTTAAGTTTTTAATTTTTCTTAATTGTTAAGAAATTTTCACAAGTTTTTTGTTAACTGTAACGGTCGAAATCCTTGAATTGTTCGTATCAGTGTTGAAATGACAGACGTCTTTCATAGACAAAGACTACAGAATCTTTAAAAGATTTTATCTTTATGAAGAATTTATCTTCTACAGATTTCTGTCTGCATGTAGATTAAAAAAAGTGTCTACATGCAGAATCTGTCTTCCAAAGATTTCTGTCTTCCACAGGGTTTGTCTGCATGCAGATTATTTTATTTTAATGAAAAAGTGTGGTTTTACAATAAATTAACAATAATAAGTACTTTTAACGGTCAAATCATTTTCAAATTTTCCCGATTACCTCGAAATGCAAATATTTTCTTACAATTTGTAGGTAACGGTTTACAGAGTTCGTAAAAATGTACGAATTGGACTGACAGAGAAGCTTAATTTTAATCAAATATAAAACACTAATTCAAAATATTTTTTTCTTTTCATGAATCTGATGACAAATGTGGCGAATGGTGATTTTGTGAATGTGGATAAATTGTGTGTATGTTACTGAAAATATCCATTTTTAGTGCATTTTTGAAACTTATTTCAAAAAGGTAGCTTATTGATTGAGATAGAAGCAACCAGACATCGTAGCCTTCTACGTTTTCTCAGTTCTATCGTTTTATTGGCGTATCGAATACTTAATAAAAAGCGTAACTCAGTGTATTTATGCTAGTATTAAGCATTTTTCTGACAACGACAAAATCTAAATGAAAAAACCCTTTTTATTAATTTTAAAAGCCCGTAAATGTTTGATCATTTTTTTATAAAAAAGACTTGTCAGAGGAAGTGAAGAAGAATCCACATTAATTTGCAAAATTAATTTCGTTGTTTTATTTTGTATCCTAAATCTTTCTATGTGTTTTTCATTTAAAAATATTTATTAAATATCAAAATATAATAATCTGCATGCAGACAGAAATCTGTGGAAGACAGAATTCTTTGGAAGATAGATTCTTCGTGTAGATACTTTTTTTAATCTATATGCAGACAGAAATCTGCAGAAGATAAATTCTTCATATAGAAAGTGTCTTTTTGCAGAAGTATAGGCAGATTTCAACACTGGTTCGTATCATAGAAAATGAAATCACATTAGTTTGAAAATTAGACAACTGACTTTCCAGAATATACAACTAATTTTTACTTAAAATACAGTGTAATTATACTAAATAAATGCAAAAATTGAAATCCGATACAAGTACACTTTAATTAAAACTTTTTTATTGGGTAAATACTTTTGATACTTTTATAGCGTAAATAAATTTGTTACTTTGGTTAGAATGAAAACTTACTTCTCCAAATGAATCTAATATCTAGGTTACTGGAATTACAATAGGTTTAAAATCTCCTACGCTCGGAACAAATTGCTGTATTACGGTAATTGTCTGTGTCAATACTTAACATTTATTATGCTTAATGTCTTTTCTAGCTGTATACTAGAGAAGATTAAAATGTTTTTGATGTAAAATGTAAGCCAATTTGTGCTTAAATTTTACTGATTTCACTTTATGCACGCTCCACAGCTAAATTGCACTATAAATTTTTGATTATAAGTATATATAAAGCATACCTAAGTTAAATAATTTTTCACAGAACAGAAAAAAATCACATTTTTTATGTTTACATATTGGAATCCCTTTCCTTCGATTCCTCGATCATCTCAGACTACCGCCATTTCATAAAACATCCGTTAAATTTAATATTCAAAAAAATTTAAAATTTTTTATGACCGTTATAAAATTCAAAATTTTTTGACGGTTAAACCAGATTTTACCATGCACTTACTCATTTTGCTCAAATTTTATTGTTAATAAAGTTGAGAATGAATAAAAAAATATATAAAATTAATAATTTATGAAGAACTTTGGGATTTGTGCAGAATTGGTATGAATTTACATTATTGATGTATGTGTCAAAAGATATTCTGAAGTCGCATATATTTTAAGTTCAGTATATTTCATATGCACAACAAATTTTTTAAAAAGTTATTCATATCTTAAAGAATTCATATATTTGTTTCAAATGTTAAAAAAGTTTGAACAAAATTGCACATAGTTGAACGAAGCTCACAAATTTTCTACTTTAAACTGCTTTAAACAGTAAAGCGCACGCCAAAAGCTTAGCATTTACTAGAGACTGTGGATAAAGGAGAAAAAAGTAAACTTTCATTCTCTAACCTATAAACCTACTGTAATTTATAAGCAATAAGATTGAATAAAGTGAATACTAGTAAACTCAATACAAAATCTATAAAGAAACTTAGGATTTTACAAATACATAATCAGTTAAATTTGTATTGTTGTTGTCGAAATTGTATTAAAAGATTGAGACTAAAAAGTAGCAAATAAAAAAATGTTAAAAAAAACTTTTTAAAAAACACAATTTTATCAAAAAATGACTTAAGCACTTAGCTGAATTAAGAAGCTCACCGTGACTTAAGCACTTAGCTGAATTAAGATGCTCACCGTGCAATTACGCCCCACGCTTTTCAAGTAATTGTGTTTTTGTACTAAATTACTATATTTTGAGAAAATTTTTGTGTTACATTTCCAGTTGTCTCATGAAAAATTTTAAAATCCTGATTTTCTAAAAGTGCGATCTTAGTTTATTTTCAACTTTTTAGCGCATTTTTGAAACTTGTTTCGAAAAGGTAGCTTATTAATTCACTTTGTTCGTTCGTTCGTTCGGGCGGAGAAAAACTTTTTAACTAGACATCGTACAGATCTCGGATTTGTTTTATTAGCTCCATTACTATCGATTTATGTGTCTATCGAGTGGTTAAAAGTCTTCAAACCATGTATTTATGCAATAATTATAATTTGTTTTTATTGTTTTCAGTGTAACCTGCCCAAATTTTATTTTACCTCCATAATTTCAAATTTTTTCTAGCCGTTCTAAAATTTGATTATACTATAACTAATGTTTTTGTGTCGCAACTTTTAGCAGGAAAATTTCAAATATTTATTGACCGTTAGAAAATTTGAACTTCATATCCAGGATATGTTTTGAGGAAATTATAGTCAAAGACAATCGAATAATACAACGAGTCTATGAATATAAATATGTCGAGTTATTTCTTGATCCAACACTCAAATGGAATGTACATATTGATCATGTTGAAAAAGAACTGTACTTTGCATCTGCTGCGTTATGGAAACTCAAAAATATTATTCCAAAAAGGCGTTAAAAAGAAAATTTATTTGCATTATTCCAATATAACCTCAACTACATGAGCCAACTGTATGGATCTGCATGCGACAATATTATCAAGCCTCTCCAGAACATTGAGAAACGTTATTGGAATAAAACTTTTATTTCCAACTGCTTCAACGGAAATTTTTTCAAACAATTTATTAGTCTGCACTGAAAGATAAAGAAGAAACAGAAAATAATTTCGATTCAATTGCTTTACTTTTAAAATCTATTCCAATATGATAGTGCCTATATGTCACTTTTTCCTTCATTATTCACAACTCATCGTTAACATCATAATTCAACAACACACTTATATTAATATTTTAAAATTTATGTTTTGTTTATTAACGTTCGGTTTATTTTTGAACCTTTTTTCAAATTTTGAACTTCCGTTGATTTTTGAACTTAATGTCTAGTTAATGACAGCTCAGAAACCGGCCGAGCAGCTGAACAAAGTGAATTATTAGAAACAAGGTTCAAAAATGCGCTGAAAAACAAATTCATTATTTTTTTAATTTTACATTACATAATTAAAAAAATTTGAAAAATACAGCATCTATTGAGTTCAAATAGAGATTTTAAAATTATTTATTAAAATCATAATTCTACACAATTTAGTCACTATAAAGCATAGATGCATCAATTAAATGTTCTTTTCTTGAGTCTTTTAAAACAAAAAATACTAAAAGTGAACAAATAAGTAAAATTGCAGCAAAAATAAATGGCCAATATGTTGGATTACTTCCTAAACCAAATGCCCAACTGTATAAAATTACAAATGAAATAATTTGCAAGCTTTCTTCAAAAAAATAAGCTACTGATACTGACATCCTTCTTTCTTTGATTGGAAAAAGCTCAGATTTTAGTATTTCACTTATTCCACCCATTCCAAGTCCTAGGAAAAATTCAACACTGATTAAAAATATCAGAGGAAGCCAAAGTTGACTGAAAAAAATTAGTAAAGATCCAAATGTGATTAAAGTTATTGAAATAATTCCACTAAGAATTGTAAAATGAAATTTTTTTGGTACACAATCTAAAATTAAAAATGATGCTAAAGTTCCAAAGATACGTGCTGACAATGCAACAGTTTCGGTCCATTTCATTAGAAAACTTTTCATAAAAAGCAATCTAAGATAATTGTGAAGTGGATTAAAGACAGAAATGTAAGAATTTTGAACCAAAACAATAACTAATAATGTCAAAATGTTGTGTCGACTAAAAAAGTTGAATTTCCGACTTTCTTCCTCAATCAAGTAGCTCTGCAGTGCATCATGTTCTAAATCTATAATTTCATCTTTTTCATCACGGAAATGCTTTAACCTTTTCAAACTGTCTTCTTTGTTATTAAGAATCAAAAACACATGAGAATCTTTCATCGTGTAATAACCAATTGGATATGATGTACAAGATAGCATAACTAAAAATATTCCCATTCCAAAAAAAATGCCAAATGCGTCTGAAATAGAATGTAGGAACATCCCAACTGTTAGACATAAGTGCTGAAAAAGCACCAACTGTGCGCGTTTTTCCTTTGATGAAATCTCTCCAATGTAAAAAAGAGAGCTGATATGAGAACTTCCAAATGCAAATCCGGTAAGGATTCGTGATGTTAAAATTGTGTAGTAAATGTCCTCAAATAAGCAAAAAACTACTCCTCCTAATGCCATGAAAGCTGATGAGATGCACTGAAAATTTAAATTTAAGTAAATTTTGTATTGTGAACTATTGTTGTAACTATAGAGAAGGTAGAGAAGGCAGAGAAGGTAGAAAAGAAAGGGTACAACTAGTGACGATACTTACATGTAGCTTATAAATTGACACATTTCTGTAAAAACAACTCGCATAAACTCCACCGCAAAATGCTAAGATATGATATGAAACTGGTACAATTGAAATTGGCAAATTTCCAAAATTATACATCCAATCTTTATGACCGAGATTTGAATTGAAAATTCCATATGCAAGATGAAATCCGCTACAAATTGATATGAAGCTTGCTGGTATTTTAAAAATTAAAGTTGGTAAAAAATCATTTGTTTTGTATTTTGGTAACTTACCAGGAATAATAGCTAAAAACTGATTTTTGTACTTCCTTATTCCATTCATACTTAACAAACTTCAAAAGATTTTCATTAAATATTAGAATTTTTAACAATAAAATAAATACACAAAAATTATCGAGGAGAAACCCAATACGGATATATTCACACCGTACCATTGAAAATATTGTACAAAAAAGCCCATGCTTGACTCAGCATTAACTTACTTTTTTGCTTGCTAACAAAAAGCGTAAAATTGCGATGTCTTAATTCAATTTAAAATCTGTTTTTTTTTTTGCAGAAGACGTAAAACTGCAGCTACAAACTTTCCTTTTAATGAGGTTTCTGGTTGCGGTTTTTGGAAAAACGAAAAACCGCACTTTTTGTTAGGTGGATACAAAAACTATTAAAAAAGATATGGAAACTGAAAATTTGAAGAAAAAAAATACAGAAGTCCTCGTGTTTTTGATCGAGGGACTTAAGCGCATTTTTGTGTAAGCGATCAGTATTTGATTATCTAATTATTTTGCGTTCATTTACAGATCATTATAAAGAAAGGCTTTATTATTTAACGGTAAATTAATAATTTGAAATTTTCCCGCTAAAAATTGCACTAATAAAACATTAGTTATAGTAAAATTAAATAATTTGTTTCAATGAATTTCCATATATAAAAAGCTTATCATTTAACAGTTTTTTGAGATTCAAAATTTTTCAACGGTTTAAATAAATTCGAATTTTTAAACGCTCTCATCACTTGTTTTTTCATATGAAATATAAAAATCATTAATTATAGTTTCAAAAAAAAACACTGTTTCAAGATTTTAAATTTTTTTAAAAAAAGTTTATCTAAAATCTCAACTAAAACATTTCAAAAGAATGTTGAAAATGCTTAATATATGTAATATTTAAAAAAACTTTTTTTTCTTTATTTTTTTTTTTAATTTTTTACAATTTTTACTAACCACTATTTTTGACCTATTTTCAGGTAATTATTGAGTTGTAGATTTTTTTACTAAGAAATTGTAAAACTGCGCATATACACGTGAAAACGGTGAGAATATGAAAATAACTGAATTTAAAAACAAACTTATCAATAAAAAATGATAAGATAGTGACGTTATCGATATTTTTTATATTCATACCGTTTTCACGTGTGAATCTATTGGTTTTGTTCAGATTGAAAAATCAGTTTTTCGCATTTTGCGAGGAAATGGAGCATTAAAGCTTAACATGTTCAAAAATGAAAAGTATGTGCCTGAAATTTCACATCTTCTGCAAAAAAAAAACAGATTTCAAATTGGTTAATGCATTTGCTGAGAAAATCTTAAAATACGCTTTCTGTAAGCAAGCAAACAAGCAAGCAAGTTAATCAGCAAGAAATATCAATAACGAGACATCGTAGAGACTTCTAGTTTTTTACATTTGATCCGTGCTGCTCCATAGAAGAGCTGTATTGTTTTGGGCCAAGGTAGGAACAGCCGTTGCTTCAGAAAAAGCAAAAAACTTTCCTTTCTTACAAATTTTTCAAAACAAAAGTTCACTGTGATTTTTTTTAGCGCATTTTTGAAATTTGTTTCAAAAAGGTAGCTTAATAACTCACTTTGATCGTTCGCTCGGCTGCAAGCCGAGATAGGCTTAATCAGGCATCGTTGAGAGCTCGGGATTGTTTTAATAGCTCAGTTCTATCGTTTTGTTCTAGTATCGACTAGATAGAAAGCTTAAAACAATAGCTTTATACTATAATTAATGATTTCTTTAATTTCAACAGTGTAACCTGTTCAATTTTTTTTCGACTACCTCTATAAATTCAAATTTTTAAAAGTCGTTAAAATTTTAATTTCGAAAAACCGTTAAATGATAAACTCTTTCTGTATGGAAATTCAAAGTAGAGACAGTGATCCAAAATCAGCTAATCGATTATCTGGAAGAAGAAAAAATTTTAGATAATTTTCAGTACGGATTTAAAAAGAACAGATCGTGTGAAGACGCTTTTGCTAAGGTCATTTCAGTTACATCTAAAGTAGTCGACAGTAATAAATCAGCCATCCTTTTGTCACTTGATTTAAGTAAAGCTTTTGACATGATTGACCATCAAATTTGTTAAAGAAGCTTTGTCATTATGGAATCAAAGCTGATGCAAATAAGCTTTTAGAAAGTTTTATAACAAATAGAACACAACACGTCGTAATAAATGACTCTAAAAGCTATCCAGGAATCAAGAAAAGCGGAATAGCACAGGGAACAAAAAATGGACCCACTTTATTTTCTATTTACATTAATGATATGAAAGAACTTGAAACTTATGCCTCAATCTTCAAATTTGCTGACGACACAATGCTTGTATATGAGGTGAATGAGAATATCTCAAAGGAAATTCAGCATGACTTGGATATTATTGTACAGTACTACCAAAATAATAGACTTGAATTAAACCTGAGCAAAAGCTTTGCATTGATAATAGGCGGAAATGTGTCAGACTCGGCTTTAAACGAATTAAAAGTCTACGGAATTAGTGTTACACAGTCCTTAAAGTATTTGGGAGTTCAAATTGACCCAAAGCTGACATTTGAGGACTTCTCGGAATCAATTTCAAAGAAACTGAATCAAGCAATTGGAGCAACCGCAGTGCTAAGGAACAAACTCACCTTAAAACCATTGATGGACTTCTATTTCGCACATTTTCACTCGCATTTATCATATGGGACATTCTTGCTGATACGATCCAGTTCCAAGACACTACGAAATCTGCAAATTTTACAAAATCGTATAATTAAATTAATCTTTAAACTATCTCCAATAACTTCAACTCACATATTATTCACCGACTATGCTAAAAATGTTCTTCCAGTGATGGGGCAGATTTTTATGTCCATATGCCAAATTGTGAAGAAATCCTTGCTGGAAAACGTCGAGGAACTCATAGTAAAGTAGAGAAACTGCGATCAGAACGAACTAAAATGCTGAAAATAAATACTAGTTCAACGAGAATAAGATCCAATGATATTGAAATATTGGGACCCGAAATTTATAACTCCTTACCTGCTGAAATTCGAGACATCGGACATCTAAAGCCTTTTAAGTCAAAACTCAAGCAGTTCTTGCTATCTAAAAGCACCTCATTAGTCTCACCGTTGCAGTTTACCACCAGAAACAAGATTTTATAATTATTGCTTTAATTTAAATTTTTAACGGATAAACTGAGCAAAACTGAGCAAAAGTTTAAATTCACACGTTTATTTGAATGTAACGATCTTTTTTTTGTAAACATTAATTCAATCTTTCGACGGTTTTAAAGGTTTTTTACGCCCTTTTAACTAGTTTAAGTACTAGTTAAGGGGGCTTTTTCCTTTGTAAACGGAAAGAGAGAAACATGATCAATCAAAAGTATAATTTAAGATTATTAAGTCCCTTCAATAAAGAATGACGTTAGTCATAATTATTGAAATATGAAAAAAAAAATTGCAACAAATTATTTAATTATACTATAATTAATTTTTTTGTAGTGCAACTTATAGCGGGAAAATTTCAAATTATTTATTGACCGTTGAATAATAAATCCTTTCTGTATAAGCATTCATTGTAATTATTTGTTAATTACACTAAAATTAATGATCTTCTAATCTTCTAATGATCTGTAAATGAACGCAAAATAATTACATAATCAAATACTGATCGCTAACACAAAAATGCGCTTAAGTCCCTCGATCAATAACACGAGGACTTCTGTAATTTTTTTAATTAAACTTTGGATGAAAAAATTTTTAAATTTTTTTTAAATAATATTCGTTAAGCAATAAACCTTCAAACTTATGTTGAGCAAAGCTCAACTGACTCGCTGGCTTTATATCTTTAAACTTATGCTGAGTGAAGCTCAGCTGACTCGCTAGCCCTATACATTCAAACTTATCTACGTCACAATACAAGATTTATGGTGAAAAAACCAAATCTCTAGGTATCTCCAGTGTCGAGTCCTAACTGCTATAATTGAAACTCATTTCTGTACTAAAACGTCAGGGATGCAGTTTTTTGATAAATTTTTTTGCAGATTTTATCTACGTGACAATACAAGATTTATGGTGAAAAAACCAAATCTCTAGGTATCGAAAAAGTCACATTTATTAATTAATTGAACTGCTTCCAAACCACTAAATCATAATGATTTAAGCTTGATAAAGCTTCTAACCATATTCTAAACATAGATTTAGTTGCAATTAAGTCAATTTAAAAAATAAATTTAATGTTAACCTTTAACAAAAATTAAAATCTTAAAATTAATGTTTCCATTTAAACATTTCATTTGTATACTGCAAGAAAAACGTGAACTTTATTAGCCAATTTTAAAACATAAGGCAAAAAGTTGAGATCTACACCAATTTACAAAAAAATTCTAAACTTTTAATGCTAATTTCCAATAAGTAGTGTATATTTCTAAATGAAATTAATTTCTCTTTCAATATTTATCAAAAACCATATAATTTGCACACAAAAAATGCTCAAAACACCAAAAAAAATTAATTTCTTTAAAACTTTGCTTCCTGAATTATTAAATTTCAGTATTGCAAGAATTGTATTTTAAATTTATATGAAAAGAATTGTAAGTATTGTACAACACCGTACAGTACTTTGGAGTGTCTGAACCTTGTTTTAAAATGCAATTTTAAGCATTTTTGGTTTCAATCAAAGGAGGCTATTTTCAAAAAAAATATCGATTTTATATCTATATTAGCATTCCTTATCATTTATAATTACTAGATATGTTTTAAAATGCAATTTAAAGCATTTTTGGTTTCGATCATAGTAGGTTATTTTCAAAAAAAATATCGATTTTATATCTATATTAGCATTCCTTATCATTTATAATTACTAGATATGTTTTAAAATGCAATTTAAAGCATTTTTGGTTTCGATCATAGGAGGCTATTTTCAAAAAAAATATCGATTTTATATCTATATTAGCATTCCTTATCATTTATAATTACTAGATGTGTTTAAAAATGCAATTTAAAGCATTTTTGGTTTCGATCATAGTAGGTTATTTTCAAAAAAAATATCGATTTTATATCTATATTAGCATTCCTTATCATTTATAATTACTAGATATGTTTTAAAATGCAATTTAAAGCATTTTTGGTTTCGATCATAGGAGGCTATTTTCAAAAAAAATATCGATTTTATATCTATATTAGCATTCCTTATCATTTATAATTACTAGATATGTTTTAAAATGCAATTTAAAGCATTTTTGGTTTCGATCATAGTAGGTTATTTTCAAAAAAAATATCGATTTTATATCTATATTAGCATTCCTTATCATTTATAATTACTAGATATGTTTTAAAATGCAATTTAAAGCATTTTTGGTTTCGATCATAGGAGGCTATTTTCAAAAAAAATATCGATTTTATATCTATATTAGCATTCCTTATCATTTATAATTACTAGATATGTTTTAAAATGCAATTTAAAGCATTTTTGGTTTCGATCATAGTAGGCTATTTTCAAAAAAAATATCGATTTTATATCTATATTAGCATTCCTTATCATTTATAATTACTAGATATGTTTTAAAATGCAATTTAAAGCATTTTTGGTTTCGATCATAGGAGGCTATTTTCAAAAAAAATATCGATTTTATATCTATATTAGCATTCCTTATCATTTATAATTACTAGATATGTTTTAAAATGCAATTTAAAGCATTTTTGGTTTCGATCATAGTAGGCTATTTTCAAAAAAAATATCGATTTTGTATCTATATTATCATTCTTTATCATTTATAATTACCTGATATGTTTTAAAATGCAATTTAAAGCATTTTTGGTTTCGATCATAGTAGGCTATTTTTAAAAAAATTATATCGATTTTATATCTATATTAGCATTCTTTATCATTTATAATTACCTGATATGTTTTAAAATGCAATTGAAAGCATTTTTGGTTTCAATCATAGTAGGCTATTTTCAAAAAAAAATATCGATTTTATACATATCTATGTTATCATTCTTTATCATTAATATGCCAAAGCAATAAAAAGCCACAATTTGTTTGTGAGTCAGCGACTCGTAGTAAATGTATTTTTCTAAATAAAAATTCAAACATTAGAAAACCTTAATTATAATACAAAATTCAACTTACAGAAAAAATGTCCGAAGTCGACACAGACGCGTTTCAAACCAAGAAAGAATTTACGGGAGGAAAAGCTCGAGGGGCATTCACTTTATTTATGAGCTTTAAGAATTCAAACTTTAAAATATCGTTGTCAATTCTAATTGGCAACATTCTCCCGGACCAAAGATATTTAATTCAGTTAATGTATCGACTTCAGATCTATACAGTTTTCTTAATTAAATTCATATTCTCATCAAAATCATAGCTTAAATCTATAGATAAAACGGAATCGTTGTCCGTATCACGTGTTTCATCTAATAAAGCTTCTATGCTTTCAACTGGTTCGTTGCTAACAGTTGGTTCGTCCAAATCCATGGCTTGGATTGCAACAATTAACGAACTATTAGATCCAACTCTAGCCAATGGAGTTGCGTTTAAACAATTTGCATCACATATTTCTTTATTTAAAGTAACAGGCATTGGATCTAAAAGTGATTTGTCAGCCTCATGTAACAAGACTGGTACACGTAAGCTCTCTTCACAGTTTATTTTTTCATCATAAATATTAACTTTTTGCGCATGAAAACGTTTCATGAAATTTACATAAGCAAATGCAATAAAGCCGAACGGACGAATAGCATCTCGTTCGACATCATAAATTAATTTTATTCCCGTTACTCCTTTTGATTCCCAAAATTCAAAAGCAGTTGCGAGTTTGATCAAATAAAAGGTAGTAATACGCGAAACTTGTGTAAGCCCTGAAAGCTTTAATGAACTTGGTGACGCACCAATTTCAGCATTTCCCTTACTTGTAACAGGTTCTGTGCGACTGGCCACGCCGAAAACCCAATCTTTAAATACTAATTCAACAACATTATTCGCAATCATGACACTTTGCCTAGCTTTTAAGACTCTAAATTCAAACTCATCTCTTAAACTTATCACCACTTCATCGCATCGCATTTTATTAACATAATCATAAATTCTATGAATACTCATTATTGACTTGAGATTTCCTTCTAATTCCGTCAAAATCTCTTGTAATGCTAATTCCACTGGAACTTTTATCAATTTTAAAAATGAATGCTTCCTGTAACGGACTTCTTTGATTTATATTTTCCATCCTCTACTGAAATTAACATAAAACAAACTTTCTATAATTAATGATAATGATAAGAGACTTAACTTTCAATTAATTATTTGAATTCAATGATTTGATTTAATGTCAATTTTTGCTAATCGCTTTATAGACCGAGATTTTTCAATTGATTTGTCCGGCATCATAATATCAGCCACACGAGATCTCCCATCATTTCCCTTATACACTTTCACTACTCTTGCACGCCTCCATTCTTTCCTTGTATCATTAGGTTCTATCAAAAGAACTAGATCGCCAGCTTTGATTGGCTTTTCGTCTCGAAACCATTTGACTCGTTTCGTCAATGCTGGCAAATAAAAATGGAAAAAACGACGTGTAATCTCATCAGCGACTGCACGTCCTCTACGATAGACCGAATGATCATGCACACCATTAATTAAAGGTGACTTTTCAACACCTGGAAGATAAGGCCAGCCAGTGCGACCTTTAGCCAACAAATGAGGAGTGAGAATAACTGCATCATCAGCTGATACAGCATTATGTGTGAGCGGACGATTGTTTATTCGATGCGCAGCATCTTGTAGAGCTATGTTAAATGCCGTTGCATTTAACTTTTTATTATTCAGAACATGAGACACAGCTCGTTTTACTTCCTTTATCAACCTTTCATACACTCCTTCCATCCACGGACTATGAGCAGGCAATAACTTCCAAGAGACACTATACTTTTCAGCTAATTGAGGCTTTAAGACTTTATTTTGCTCAGTTAAGAAAGTCATAGTTCTTCTTTTATCCTCTTCTAATACATTTTTAGCACCAACAAAATTAGTTCCTCGATCACTAATTAATGTTCTTATAGGACCAAGAGTATTCCAAATTTCAACAATTGCTTCTAGTACTTTAATCGATTCTAATGAATGTAAAATACGAAGATGAATAAATCTTGTAAGAGTACATGCGAAAATGAGGACCCAGACCTTTTTGGGTCTGTTGTAATTAAGAATAGTAAATGGACCCATACAGTCTAAACCTGTGCACGGATTACAATTGTCTTGGATAGACTGTAACTCTACACGTACTTGAGGCACCCAATATAAACTACGCGTATAAGCTAATTGATACTCAAGATGTATATGCTCATATTTCTCATGAACGTGCTGTAGGAAAAGCGTAACAATCCAATATTTTCTAGGTAACAATGGAGCAAATTTCTGAGGATATAATTCAAAACTTAAATTCACGCGAGAATTAATTCTTATAAGCCCTTCTGAATCAATAAAAACATCTAATTGTTTCATTTCTAAATTATGAACTTCACGCTTCCTCCTCAAACATTTATATTCCCTAGAATAATATTCACGCTGCGCTTTTCTTATTAAAAAGTTTCTTGCTCTCTCAAGATCACATTCATCCATACATTGAAAACTCTCATTAAAGCCTTTTATCTCATTTCTCTTATTTACATCGTTGAACTTTCTACTTCTAATTAAAGGAATAAATCCATACATCATGATTTTCAAAGCACGAGCTGTAGCACGGACAAGTTTTGTCCAAACACTTTTAACAGCTGCTCTAAATTGATCTACTAAGCAATCAGACATTAATGGACAATTGAGAGGGGGAAGTTTAGGCGTTGACAACTCAAGCGGACTTTTAAGATTCAAAACATTAATCATTGAAGGCTCAGAAACCACTGGCGGTCCATCTAAAGCAGGCATTTTAGGCCAATGTTCCTCACCTTGCCTCAAAAACTGTGGTCCTGTAAACCAGACTGGCTTTGAGTCACTAAAATCAAATTTTCTAAATTTTGTAGCAAGGTCTGCCACATTAAGTTTCGACGGTACATAACGCCATTCATTTCGCTCAGACATCTTTAAAATTTCGTCAACAGGTGACGCTGCATACTTTAATAGTCGGTGGTTGGGTTTAACTATCCAACGCAAAACGACTTCACTATCAGTCCAATAGTATTTCTTAAAACCGATGTGACTAAAATGATTGAATACTGTATCTGCTAACAAAGCTCCTATAAAGCAAGCACAAAGCTCTAATCGAGGCATTTCACTAATTTGTGTTCTTGACTTGTGTCTTAAAGGTGTTATTTTGGCTTTTGCCATAACAATGTTACTAAACCTTTCGTTATTAACTATCGTTACTATATAGCAAACTGCTGCGAAGGCTTCTCCCCCTTCATCCGCAAAAGTATGTAGCTCTATCGAATTACAATCACTCAGATTATAAACTGGATTAAAACGACGCGGAATCTTCAATTTAGAAATATTCTCAATTTCATTCAACAAATCCATCCAATCTTTATGCTCTTTCTCACTCACTTTATCATCCCAGTCCAATTCCTTTAAGAAGGACCTCTGTATTAACATTTTCCCACGGATTATAAAGTGCGAAATTAAACCTAGAACATCAAATATTCTCGCTATCGTGATACATTGATCGCGTTTCGTTGGACAATGCTCACAATCTTTTACAATTTTGATAAATAAGTTCTTATCAAATTTAAAAACGAATGAGTCACTCTTCGTATCCCAAAAACAACCTAAAACATTTGTTACGCACGCACCATTCTCACTCTCTCCTGGCAACGATTTTAAGAACTCTACACTGTTACTTTGGAATGTTACAAGTTTCCAATTTATGCTATCAAATATTTCAATGCATTGTTTCGCGATTGAAGTAGCCTTAGCTAAGGAAGGTTCAGATGTTAGTAAATCTTCCATGTACATTGAATTTATTATAGTTTCACACGCTTCAGGATATTTTTCCTTCCACGTTTCAGCAGTAGCATTTTTGACGAATTGAGAAGTAAACGGAGATGACTTTGGACCAAAAAGCATGCTTGAGAAAACAATAACCTGAAACTCTTTATTAGTATCAGATCTCCAGAGTACTCGCTGTACTTGTTGGTCTCTTTTATTTATCTTTACTCTCATAAACATTGACTTAATGTCAGCAGTAAATGCGATTTCATTCTCTCTCATTTTTAACAAAGGCTTCAAAATATCTACTACTTTAAGAACAACTTCTTCACAGTACGATGCTAAGCCCTGTAAAGTAATATCAATTTTAACAGCCTCGACTGTTTTTACAGAACCATCCGTCCATTGTAACGCTATCTTACAATCTTCACCATCTATTCCTAATAATTCCCTTACTTCCTCTTTCACTAGAGTAATTTCCGCAGCACTATCACCTAAACTATAGTGTATGAAATCCCCTTTAGGTCCCATAAAATAATTCTTAAATACTTTTACGGTACCCTTCAATTCCTTAGAGCCCAATGATTCGACTAGAAAGGGTTTAATATGCTTTTGCTCGACATTATTTTCATTAGCATTACTACTGGCCGTAATAGCTACTGATGCTGGCTTTGGTTGTCTATTCATGAAAGCAACTTGAGATTCTGGCATCTCTCTGATGGTTGGAGCTTGACTGATGATAACGTCAACCGGAATAGTTGGTGTATTAGTAGTTGTTGGTTCCATTTCATCTCGCTGTCCATGATTCGCGTTAGAATGGTTGTTGGCAATATCATTTGCTTTACGCTCATTAGCATTTGAATTACCTTTCTTTCCAGGTCTACGAAAATTCGAGCTTCTATATTTTCCACCTCCATTTCCGCTACCTCCGTTTGAGTTATTATTGTTTAACGATCGATTACTATTATCATTCAACGCTCTGTGCAGCGTGATATGATGTTTGAGGACACAAGTGTTATTAAACTCTCTAAACCCACAACGATCTTTCAACATACAATTAAATGCTCTATGTGCGCTAGTAACTAAACAATTTCTGCAAGCATTCTTCTCATTCACCAATTTTAACTTATCAGCCGCAGTCATTACTTTATATTTAGGACACTCAACTGTAAAATGATCAGAAGACAAACAACACACACAGTATTTGTTCACTAGTGCTAATGCTTTCAAATCATAACCCAATGGAGTTTCATTCCTATCTCGTATACAATACATGTAGTCATCCATGCTTCTTATATTGTTGAATGTATTACTAGATGATTTGAACGAATCATTCCAATTTGGTTTGGTGTGAAAATTTGTTGAATTCACTTGAAGATCCTTAGGCTTCTTAATGTCCTCGAATTTCTTATCATCTATCCGTTTGCTTTCAAGATCATCAACCAAACTTTCCAAAAACGAGTACAAATTATCTAAATCAATTAGTCTACATTCAGTTCCATTATGTTCCTCTCGATATCTATAACGAAACATAATTTTATGCAAAAGTCCCAACTGTTCGAAGATATGCATTCCTAATTGATTTGAGTTTTGAAGATCTACATCCGCATATTTACACGCAGCCTTATATTCCTGAATTTTTGAAGTTATTCTAAGCACATCATTTTTAAAAAGATCTTTGGGTACTTTAATAGCTAATATGTCTTTCGCACACTTATCAATTATTCGCATGGGATCACCGAAACATTTTTGTAAAGCTTTCATTGTTTCCTCGTAGGGAATCTTATCAATCATTCCTTCAACCCGAGACAACGCGACACCCTCTAAAGCTTGCAGAATAAATATCCGCATTTCATAATCCGCATACTTTCCGACAGTCTTATGGCGATCTACATCCCTTTTAAATTGAATCCACTTTTTAGAATCCCCATTAAACTTAATAATTCTAGGCAATGCCTTACGAATGGCTGTCAAGTTTTGCGTAAAAGCAATATCTCTCTGTGCTTCCGTTGCTTCTATCTGCGCTTGAGCCTGTTCGAGTGTTATACGCTCACTTCTTGATAAATTATTAAGATCTATATCTGCAATTAAAGACTTTCGATTTGGTACTGGCACCGAAGGACGAATGCTTGAAGCAGGAGGATCGCGCATCATATCATCAGATAAATCAGCCGTATGTGTTGGGG